CAGACATGGGCCAAACTTCCTCAGAATTTACACTCTGAGGAGAGAGGCAGCAGGCAGAGATAAAAGTGGTAAGTACTGTAACAAGAAAAGGGGAAATGCGATGGAGCAGTTAGGACAGGGTAGCACCATAGAAAGGGTATCGATCAGTCAGCAGCTGATCAGAGAAGAACCACTAGGATATCACACACACATACACCATTTTAATATATAAAATAATACATAAAATAAGGGACTATAGGAGGCTGTTCTTTTGTGTCAGGCAGGTGGGAGGGAAGATGGGTGTGAAGTGGGGGAAACGAAAACATACTGGGACCTGCCAGGGTAAGTAGAACTCATGGGGATTCATGCCAGTCTCTCACTGCCTCCAAGCCTCCAATCTCAATGACGGGGCTGTGCTGCAGAACCTGGCACCCTTTGTCACAGAGTGAAACACGCACCTGGCCAGGGAGAAAATAAAGGAGGTGATCAAGTAGGAGCTGCCGTTCCTGTGTGCCTGCTTGTTGGCCCACAGACCAAAAAGATAAGCCAGCAGATAAGCAATAATGTGGGTGAGCTGCAAAAATGCATGGCCTGCTTGGACCTTTCAATTATAAAAAGAAGCTGGATCTGGCTACTTAACTTCTGCCTTCTATATCTCACACCACCCATCTCTTGTGACCCACACTATACTAAAATTATGCAGGGAGAATTAAGAGGAACGTATCTCCAGCTTAGCCCCATAGGCACTATATAAAGCCACTACAGATGGTCAAGTCTCTGAAAGATATTGGAGCCGAGAACCTGGGGGGTGAGGAGGATTCAGCCATACAATCACGCCAAGACTTGGAGGAAAGTATTCCAGGCAGAAGAAGTAGTTACTGCAAAGCCCTGAGGCAGTGATATAAATGAGGTATTTTTTAATGATGAGGCTGGAGTATGGTGAGAGGGAGAGTGGTACAAAATGAGATCAGAGATAAGAGGCAGGGACCAGATCACGTGGGGCCTTGTAGACCACGGTAATGAGCATGGATCACTTTTTTTCTAAGTGCAATGGGAAGCAAATGGAGAGTTTTTAACAAGCCAGTAGTAGTTTGATCAGATTTATATTTTTTTAACTTTATTTTAAAATAATTTCAAACTTAAAAAGAGGCATAAGATTAGCACGAAGAATTCCATTATCCAACTGATTTCCCTTCCCTTTGCAGAGAATGGGCTTTGGTGGGCAGTGCCACTCCTTTCTAGGACTCCTCCATCTCCTGGTGTCCTACATGAACAACACTCCTACAGGGCAATGTGCATGATGCCCTGGGGGTTGTGCAGAAAAGGCTGCCCAAGTGTGGAGGCAGGAATATTCTTTCGAGGAGTACCGCAAGGAGTTCAGGCCAGTGTGCTTCCACAGTAGTTTGCAGATTTCACAGGAAAACCAATCTTGTTATCTGTCTCAATTCTTGACTTCATGTTGGAATAAAAACCAGTATTACCTCTTAGATCTGGTCTCAAATTGATTGGTTACTGCATTACTTCTCAAAAACAAACAGAAAATCTCACAGATTTGACACCACGGAAGCTATTTAAAGAGAATGTTAGGGCGCCTGGGTGGCTCAGTCGTTAAGCGTCTACTTCGGCTCAGGTCATGATCCCAGGGTCCTGGGATCGAGTCCCGCATCAGGCTCCCTGCTCAGCGGGAAGCCTGCTTCTCCCTCTTCCACTCCCCCTGCTTGTGTTCCTGCTCTCGCTATCTCTCTGTCAAATAAATAAATAAAAATCTTAAAAAAAAAAAAAAAGAATGTTACACAAGTAATTCCAGATTTCCTAAGAATTTCTAGGGAATAGGCACAGCCTCCTAAGGGAAACAGGCTGAAGGGCCACCGTTCATGTTGAGGTATACATTCCAGTCTCTACATTATAATTGGCCTCAGACTTACAGATCTTGTCTTTTCAATAGACTTGGCTTACAAGTTGCGACCACAGAAAACCTTCCTAAAACAAGCTCTTCTGCCTAGATTCTCTCTCCCTCTAGCTGAAAGCCAAGGTTCAAATATTGAAATGTGCTGAGGTGCACACTTACAGAGAGATACACAAGCTCATTTCTGGCTCCGGTACAATTCCGGTTTAACATTAAATCAACTAAAATTAACTATGGATAGCCATGCCTTTTCACTAAAAGCATACACACCTAATAGGTGCTCATTAAATCATGAGGGTAAAAAGTAGAAAAGTGAAAGAGAAGTCTGGTGCATTTAGAGAAATCATTTCTTCTTATACTCAGTTAAAGGGGATCTCTGCTAGCACAATAGGGCTCAGTGACGAGAGTAAGTGCCTGATGCACAACAGACATTTAGTTAAGTAGGAGCTAATATTACATGTGTCAATAAAAGTAAGTATCTTCTACACCTTCCTAAGAAAAGAAACAAAATGCTTCTGAAAAAAAGAAAAAAAAGACCTCTGCACACAACCATTCATCTTCTTTAAGGAAAAAATGTAAAAATAGATTTTAAAAAAGCATGATCTGACAGAAAGAAAAGTAGGAAAGTTTTGATCTTTAATGAGAGTTTGCAGTATATGCTTATCCTTCCAGGCTCTGAGCCGACAGAGCTCCATGCAAACATTCAGCAAGAGAAGAGTGGATGCTGTGCTGTGACTTACGGACTATAAATTTTCAGCTCTGATTACTAAATTTATTAACAATGTCTTATACGTTATTCATTAATTATTAACAACTGTTTTCCTTCATTTAACAATGGCTCTTGAATAACAAAATAATCAAATTCAACCATAAATTAAAAAATAATAAAGTAAAAAAAAAAAGACCTGTTAAGAGTTTCATATATGCAAGCGCAGTAACACATTTCATGTATTTGGATTACAGTTTCTATGTTCTTTGTGTAAAGTAACAGAAAAATTGTTCCCTATTTCTACTGGTGCCAAGTTCATAAAATTTATGAAAAGGCTTCCCCTTTTTTATTCTGCTTAATTCACTGTACCTCAGTTGAACACAACAGACAGTACCTGGGGTTATGAGTGAGATGTGGTTAAAAGGAAGGGTCATGATCACACAACAGATCATGTAAACCTAAAATATACCTCAGACTTCTTAGAGGTAACATGTAGCCCTCATTTATTAAATAACTTACAAAGAACCGTTAAAGGATGATTTAACGAGCAGGCTGACCTCTGTCACCTCTGTCACTCATGAACATATATATTTTGCCTTTAAAATGAAACAGAATACTGTTCATTTCCAATGAGACTAGGTGTAAGGTAAGAACAAAGATGAAGCCATAGGTACTTTAAAGTTATGCTGTGTTATTTTAACTATTTAATTAAAAACTTTAATTACCAGATCAGCACACCATTTCTTGCTTAAAAATGTAATACCTTTGGAAGTAGATAAAAAATATTAAAAAAATAAGCCAGATGTAAAAATGAAAAGGCCTGAACAGCATGACACACAGAAACAGAATAATTTCCAATCAGTGACTACTAACGGGAATACTCATTTTATACAGCAGGTATTGACAACCACTTAGCAATTCCTTACACAGGCACTTGATAGAGTATTTTGTCGCTAGCATACTCAATACTGGGGCATCACATACACAAAAAAATATGGCTTTATTACAAAGGATTCAAGATGGCAACTACTTAGAATCCAGTGCCAACACGGATTATAACAAATCCAGTGAGTATTTTGTTTTTCAATTATTCATAGAAAATTTAATCCTGATTAAGTATCCTTGGGCAGGAATTCATGGATAGTTGATGACTGAAACCAACATTTATGTGAAATGCTTCTGTTAATTTAATCTGTGTATACGGCTTAATTATGATTGGGGATTCAATGTAAGAGAAATGAATTATATCAGGATTAAAATTTTAGTACCGTATCATATAGTACGTTTTTCTTCTTTCTTTTTAAACACGTTACCCTGCTTGTCCCTTCACCTAAGTGCTCAGATTTTAAAACTCTTCATAAGGAACAACCAATGTAATGTATCTAAGCTTTATTTTTCATAAACTATCTGTCAAAAACCCTTTGCTAATCAAGCCAGAACCTGAACTAGAGCCAAAAGCGATCGAAGAAAATGGAGAACCCCACACATAAATAAACAAAAACTTATTCATTTAGCTATAAATATATTTTACATTCACATTCTGAAGTAATTTCATTTTCAATTCCTTTAAACTCCAATATGAAATGCATTTTCCTTAAAGCATAAGAAGCAGTTTTTAATCAGTGCATTACACTGATTTCATAATTGGAGTTAGTTTAGATATGCATAAGCAAGTAATCATTTAACTGATTACTTTTTATAGGACTATCAAACCTGAGTTAACTATTGATATAAGATGAGGCATTACAAGTGGTGAATCTCTTACCAAAATATCATATAATTCTTTTTCATCTTAATTTCCACAGAGAAATTGCATAAGTCACCTTATAACAACACACTTCCTTGAAAGTTTATTAAGCATATTTCAAAACATTTCATTTATTACCTTTTTTCAGTTTGATACTGCTTAAATGCAGTTGTATAAATAACATGCTCTGCCTTCTTTGTTCAATTTTTCATACCAAAAGTATGAAAAAAAAAAGTCACTGTATTTGGATCCTTATTGCACTCTTAAATCAATTCACTTTTCCTTTAAAGAAAATCAAGTATCAGAAGTGAGGCCGACTTTTGTGCCCAGATGATATGGTCAGTGGTAGTGTTACTGAAGAAAGTGAAGAAACTTCCCAGTATAAACTGTGGGACAGAAAGAGTCTGTAGAGTATAACCATGGAAACAGACTGGCAAAGGATAACACCTATTGTAATAACCTGAAAAGAAAAGAAAGGGAATGCTTTTACTGCATGCAAAAACAGACAAATTACATTCAATTTATCAGGAGCCTATATACTTCCCATTTACATACAAAACACATATGTAGGTATCCTGCTCTATCCTCTATCTTTACCATGGGTACATTTTATTAAAGAAATTTTCAATAGGAAATATGACTGATGTTCAGAACTGTAATTGTTCAAAGGCAAAATTTATTGAACAGTTAAGTTTACAGACTCCAAAATAAGACACATTCAGTTTGCTAAACCATTCTCTCCTCAGGTGCACACGCTACAGAAAGTGGTAAGAAAAATCAGGTTCCTGGCTAATCTGGTAAGAGGAAAGCAGGCCCCACCTGAATCCTGAAAAGTATTCTAAAAGCCCTTTCAAATGTTCTCAAGTTGCTTCTTTAGTTTTGCAGACTACCTTCCTATCTATTTACCCTTTGCAGACACCTCAGGTCCAAGAGCCCCCTGCGCGTTCAAGCCCACACAGTGTCGCTTGTAAGAGGTGGCTGGCAGAGCTTGTTGAAATGATGGCGCCGGTGACCTGAGAAGGCGGGGCTCAACACCATCCCGTGGGGCCCCTCGAGCGTGGCGCTCCAGTCCGCAGTCTGTAAAGCAGCTAGACTGATTTTTCATAAATCTGTCTTGACTTGTAACCACTGTGTCATACAAAAATTGAATCAATTGTTCGTAACAAAGATGGATTATGGATTGTCTAATTTATAAAACAGTATTATGAAATAGGCTGAAATAATAAAAGTGATTTTCATCCTTTTTTAATTAACTAAAATTAAACATTTTTCTTTTATATTTTGAAGTTCTTATTTATATACTCACCAGTTCAATTATTTTGCTTCAAAGTTTTGTTTTAAAGAATGCAGAAAACCTGATCAGTGGATAAACAGGGCTTTTCTACTTTAATAATTTCTCAATAAAGAACAAAAAACTACTGTGATCATGTATATTACTTACCTTATCTCTTTGGTAGTCACTAAAAATGACAGAAATACATGCAAGACCTGGATGGCATAAAAACCACAAGATACAGCCCTGAAACAAATGACAAATAAGTCAAATGAGTACAGCTGTATGTTTATTTCCAGAATGTGCCAGATAAAAAACATTACTAACCTATTTAGGAGGTCCTGATTGACCTCAATTGGTCTTTAGAAGTTCTACCTAATAAAATGTAAAAATAAATTTGCTATTGCTATGATAGTATTTTGTTTCTAATCAAATGCGGATTTTAAATTTTGCATTTGTAAATCTCTTATATGTACACATTTTAATATACTACAGTGTATATATTACAAATTTAAACATGAAAATACATTAATATAAGCAACATCAAAAACTGAGAAAAGCAAGGTACAAATGTGCAATATTCCTATAAAAAGAATAAAAAAAGAACGCACAATCGTATTTGCATGTAGAGATACACAAAGAAATTCTGTAAGAATACCCGAAACACTGAGTAATAGTGGTGGCCCGTCCGCAGGTTAGTATATGAGAGTGGAACTGGGCAAGTAAGAATGGGAAATTTTTTAGCATTATACTCTTCAAGCATCTCTTTTCTATTTCTCCAAGAATGGCCATGTTTTTCTTTTCCAAAATTAAATTTGAAGTAAAAGAACAAGTTAATAAATAGTAGCTGTTGAGATGCTCAGTACATTGAAGATAAAGGAAAAAACAAGATGTAAAAAAAAAAAAATGTGTTTAGCATGCTACTGTTTGTGTAAATATGGAGGGAAATACACAGGAATATTTAAAATTCTCTAGAAAGGTAAGTTAGGAATTAAGAGCAGTGATTATATGAGGAGATAATAACTGAGTAGATGGGAGAGAAGTAAAAAATACTTTTGGTTCTTTTTAAATACTTTCAGATGTTTGAACCCATTTAAAAAGTTAAATTAAAACATATAAAAATAATTTCCTTAAGTTCAAGAAAAAAGTTTGGACCAATTTTAAACACAGAATAAAACAGGAAATGTAGTTTGAAAACATCTTAAATATATATTATCTTTCCAAACAAAAAGCACTCCCATCCCTGTGAAAAATTAAAAAGCAAAGTGGCATTTTCTTGCCTGTCTGGTACTCAGAAAGCTGAAGTGGGTTCCTGGGGCTGCAGGAGCAGCTTTAAAATGCTGAACGCTGGGAATAAGGAATCTGGCCCTCCTTCCACAGCCGCCTTGGAATGCGGAGCACTGCGCACCTGGGTTGGGGGGATGCTGACGAACAGCTTATCTGAATGCCGTTCTGAGGTGCCAGGATGAAGGTGTACGGATTCTCTCAATCTGACAGAAAAATAGAACCTTCCGGGGAGGTAGGCTCCTGCAGTGTTACTACCCCGACTTCTCTCATCTTTTCTTTTGTTAAATGGGTAAAGAAAAGAAATCAAATTTGCTTTGAGATCCCACTTGTATAAGAAGGACATAGAACGGAGGAATAAAGTCAATGTGACCTCACACGGAGGTACTGAAATGGCTGAAACACAGTATGTCCTCAGCCTCCTGCTTCATCTGCTTATGCTAAAGACAGCTCCTCATGGTTAGAAAACACTGCATAACTCTGATGGTAACAGTTCATAATTAGTAAGTGTTTTCTGAGAAATGTAAACTGTTTTCTAATTTAATTTTTTAAAAACTCTGATACTACAGGAAAAAAATGTGAAATTCCTATTGATAAAGAAATTATGATCCAGGCAAAACCGACCTACCTAAGATTACATGGAAACTATTATTCCACAGGTTCTGTAAAATGAGATAATATCATTTACATCTCATAGGTTGTAAAGATTAAATGAGTTAAAGCACATAAAGGGCATATCTTAGTGCTCCAGCACATCATAAAAACCAACATTAGCACGGGGTTGCTCAACCTCCCCAAAACAGCAGAACAAACGTGATAAGCAGAAGAAGCCATTTTCTACCCAAACCCATACTTTGGCAAACGTGATGTAAAACTCCCTTTTTAGCGTGCTTCTCTCCACTGTGATGATCTGGTAGAGTCCACAGCCTAATGACAATGCTAGGCAAATCCTTAAAATGATTAGCAAGATCCCTGCTAAGTTGTGATGTGAATGGTAGTTGTGAGGACTGGTATCTTCAAACTGTTCCCAAAGTAGCAAAATACTCTGCAAAATACAATATTACATTTAGAGAAAAAAAATCCTGTCTACTCATACATACTTTGTCAACTCTTTTCAAACATCCCCTTAAAGAGTATATAAACATTCCTAAGAGGTTCTAAGATTTACCAGACTATAAAGGTTGTTGACTAATAAAGCACAGGCATCAGGGATAGACTTTTCCTCTGTGATACCCTAAGCTAGAGAAAAGGGATTTTTATCAAATAAGACCACACACAAAAGATAAAAAGTGCAATTGTGACCACGATTCAAGTAAGACATCTCTAAGGATGAAAATAAGTTGAAGGGGCGCCTGGGTGGCTCAGTCATTAAGCGTCTGCCTTCAGCTCAGGTCATGATCCCAGGGTCCTGGGATCGAGCCCCCCATCGGGCTCCCTGCTCGGCGGGAAGCCTGCTTCTCCCTCTCCCACTCCCCCTGCTTGTGTTCCCTCTCTCGCCGGGTCTCTCTCTGTCAAATAAATAAATAAAATCTTTAAAAAAAAAAAGAAAATAAGTTGAAAATACTAAGAGAAGAAACCCGAACTTTCTTCTAAATCTCTCTTCCTTCAGCACCATATTAGGAATCAATGTATTCAAGCCCCTTATCTCAGGATAACTCTGAAATATCTCAGTATCTTCTGTAATCCAGAAGGGAACAAGTCAGAATTGTTGATTTCAGATGTCACTCCCCAGGGTAAAGGGAACTGTGTGTGTGTGTGTGTATTTCTTTTTGAGTGTGAGAGAGAGAATATGAGTACTTGCGCACGCACAAGCAGTGGGGAGGGGCAGAGGGAGAGGGAGAGAAACCCCAAGCAGGTTCCACACCCAGTGTGGAGCCAGACAGAGAGCTCAAACCCAGGACCCTGAGAGCATGACCTGAGCTGAAATCAAGAGTCGGACCCTTAACTGACTGAACCACCCAGGTGCCCTGAAGAAGAGTATATTTTTAATATTCACTATAAGCAACCAGGTTATTTATGAATAACCAGCAGTTACTCATCCTTTTGTTTGTTGACTTCCTTTCCCCATATTGTTACCATTAAAGTAAAAAGCTCAGCAATTCCTCATTAGCTGTTCTGTTTATTGCTATTCAATGGAAACACATTCCTTCCATCTCTACCAAACGTCAATCACAAATTACCATAATGTTTTTGCCATCACACGTCAGTAGCCATGTGTTTCCTTCATCTGCCAACTCAGCCCTCAGAATGGTCTGCAGCGGCTTCCAAAGAATTCAGATCAAAACTCCGTCATTAAATCCAATTCTTAGGCTTTATGGGGTTTGTCAGCAACCCCTTCCTCTTCTCACTCTCAAATCTTCCATCCTGGTCTTACTCCTACTACCATGCTCAACAGCTGAACTCCTCTGTCATCCTGGACAAGTGCGTTTCCTTCTTAGGCTGAATATTTGCTCTCCATTACTGAAGGGCTACTTCTTCACCCCCCCCCAAATTATTATACCCTCACAATTCCTTAACCTCTATTTTTTTTAAGATTTTATTTATTTGCGAGAGAGAGAATGAGAGACAGAGAGCATGAGAGGGAGGAGGGTCAGAGGGAGAAGCAGACTCCCTGCTGAGCAGGGAGCCCGATGCGGGACTTGATCCCAGGACTCCAGGATCATGACCTGAGCTGAAGGCAGTTGCTTAACCAACTGAGCCACCCAGGCACCCCCTTAACCTCTATTTTTAAACTTAACTTTTGCAATAAGGACGTGCTATTGTACAACTACTATCTCCTGATATCTATGTGAGGTGATGGATATGTTAACTAGCCTGATTTTGGTGAACAATCACTTCACAACGTATACATATACCAAAACATCAAGCTGTATATCTTAATATGTACAATTTCTATTTGTTCATTATACCCCAATAAAGCCAATAAAAACCCTATCACTTCCCATGATTCACATTTTTACAGATTCAAACTCCACATTTTCAGATGTGTATATAACATGTGACCTGTGGAAAATACGCATGTATTTATGTAGTTGCGTGCACCTTGCCTGGGTGGTTGCTGAGGACCAGGGCTGTGTCTCATGTATTCTTCCCAGATGCTTACATAAACTCTAGATTAGTGTCATCATCTCAGTTCTTATTTGTCTATGATAATGGGTTAAAATTACAATGAAATAATGAAAATTCAATTAAAAAAAAAGCTATTTATTGAGAAATGAGAATTTAACCCAACATTAACACTACTCTCCATAAGCCCTGGATCAAAAACATCAAGTCGGTAGAATCTTGCCCTTATTTTAATCACTTCTAATTCAGTTGTCATTAGCCCTTTGTTCTAATGCCTTAGAAAGGCATTATTTGCTAACTCAATATCACCACCTGTGATATGGTCTCTTTCTAACTCAATCATGAAATTCAATATACCTATTTCACTTAGCACCTACTACACTAAATACATACAATGAGTATAAAGATGAATAAAGCACAGGACTTATACTTCATTAATGAATTTTTCACTTTATTTAATGCATTAAAACTTAAGATTATAATGTCCTTTGTAGAGCCCACATATATATTTCATTTTCATCTATAGCTAATGATGGTCACAAGCTCAGTATAAATTTTTGTTTATACTTTCCTTAATAATTTTTATAAAATCCATTGCACATAGGCATATGGAGGTCCTAGAAGAGAAGAAAACGAATAAAAAAAGGCTAAGAGAACTAAATTTTCTAAAAGATTAAATTTGATTTTGGATTTTTCAAAAACTAGATCCCGTTCTTTCTCATTCTGTATTTTGCTTTTTCATTAACCTCAGATATTCATTTGAATTCTTTCCTGTATAAGGTAACAGAACTGGACCTAAAAAAAAAATCCTTGCCCCTGGATGAATCTCAAATTCACTGATTCACTCATTTAAAATGTTGAGTTCTTACTATGTGTTAGAAAATATGAAAGAAAGCTATTAAGTAGGAAATAAGAATCTATCCTAATATTAAGCATTCTGCATATTTTTAAATAAACTGATTGTGAAAGCTCAAGTTCAAGTAAATTACAACTAAATTCTGCAATCTACATATACCAGCACTCGGAAGATTACAGGTTATTTGATCTATCACTCTTTATTTTTTTAAGATTTTATTTATTTATTTGACAGAGAGATAGAGAGAGCACAAGTAAGTTGAGAGCCAGGCAGAGGGGGAGGAAGAAGCAGACTCTCTGCCGAGCAGGGAGCCCAACGGGGGGCTCGATCACAGGACCCTGGGATCATGACCTGAGCCGAAGGCAGGCAGCCACTTAACCAACTGAGGCACACAGGCGCCCCAGATCTATCACTCTTTAAATTCATACTTCAAAATGACAAATTCCTCATGAGTCCCAAGTTTCACTTTTGAAATGAGGTTTGTTCAAGTTTGCATTTCTGCATATTGTAAAGTACAAACACTGAGTATCAATACTCACCTGTGTTATCACAATGAATACAGCAATGCCAGTGGATGCAGGAGTAGAATCCCACTGGAGAGGTCTGCTTTGAGACTTCTTCATTCTGACTATTGTCCAACCCATGCATAGACTCAGAAGCAGGTATAACATTTGAATTTGGGAAGCAATGTCAAAAACTAATGGGAAATGAAAACCAAAGTCAACCAAGTTTTCATATTACAAAGGATTTAGTCCTTTTTGCATTGAGAATATAATTATTCTTTTAAACACAAAAAGATAGGCATTTTCAAAGAGAAGTTGATAAAATTCAGTAATTCAATAATAAGAGATATTCAAGTAGAGCTCTAAAAATTAAAATTTTGCCATTAAGTTTGTAAACATTTCTTAAAATAGAACATTGGCAATACTCTCTCTATATACATATATCTTTATTAAGACCAACTTTAAATCTCTTTGTGCTTCCCATTTTTCTTAGCTTTTCTAGCTACATAATGCTGTTCTCTATAACAGACTGCTTATTAAAAATAAACACATTTTAAATGTAATTTCTGCAATGTGGAGAATACTAGTGCCTTCATTTCCAGGCTGTTAATTATTTTTTGATGGTTGAACTATATAATGTGAACTTATTTTCTAAAACTATTAATCAGAAATAGCATGACAATAAAACACACGGCTACTGTAACATTCAATGATGTCGGCTTTGGTGCTGGAGTCCCGAAGACGAACAAAACGGTCCGTGTGTTAGTGTGACACGCCACCAGGTGGTCACCACGGACACTGCAGGGGACGCCTGGGGCTTCAAAAACAGAGGCAACAGGACCACCCACCCAGTTCCAGACTCGGAGAAAACAACAGTATATATAAGTACTCCAAGTTCCATGCATTTTTATTTTGGAAACTAGTATTTATTGACTTAAAAAAGATGATCACTTTCTCATCATCGGGTATTTTGATGAGGATTTTGGAATAAACGTGATCAAAATTTAACAAAGTGAAACTTTCTTCAAATTGCCAGCCATACCTTTGATGTCTACAACTTTTACTTCTTTTATATAAAGATACTCTTGCAAAAACAGGTAAAACTAGCTGTACTATAATATATTAACAAGTTACAAGCTGAAAACCTATTAATGATACACTTTTCCAGATATATTTTGACCATTTTCCCTCTACTCTGCCATGCAAATTAAAACTGGATACTCGACATTTGTGCTCACATATTTGTAATAGTAAATTCTGATAATAAACTGTTACTACATTTGAATGGTACAAAATGTCATGGCCTTTCAGATCAAGCAGTTTTCTTTCATCACAGATTGTAAATGATTGTGATGCCAATTACTTTTATTAAACATCTCACAAATAAATATTCAGTTATTTAAAGAAGTCAGCCAAAGGAATAGTCCTGCATAAGTTGCTAATTAGCAAAAACAAATACCTGGGGCGGGGGGAACCTCTGATGTTCTGGCTCAATTCTCTGTATACTAAGTAAGACACATATTGACAGAATACTGTAACTGTAAGCATGGGTAGATAAGACACTGCTTATCTGCTGTCACTGAAAAATACCTAACTGTAGACAAAATATACAGGTCACACAAAAATCCCATTCTGTGTGATTTTACTAAAAATCTTGACGTTTTAATCATTTAACTTATCAAACCTGTTATCAGAACACCAAAATTTAGCAGCATTTATTGTAGCTTAATTAAAAAAAAAACAAAAACTTTTGCTTTTTAACCTACAGTGAAGATGCCAGACAACCTAAAACACTATTTTGTATGCAGCAAACACTCACAAAAATTCAAAAGTCCTTGATTTTAGTAGTAGCTTCCACTGATGGGCTTCTGTGCGCTTTGCTTCTCAAAAGGCATAAGCTAAATTATTTCTGAGGTTCTGTTCAGCTTTAAAATTCTATGGTTCTATTAAACGTCCTGAGTCACCTAAGAGACAAGAGCAGGAGAAACCAGCGCTCTCAATACTGTTCAAAAAGGAGAAGCAACTCGCGTTCGTGTCCAAGAGGTGACCAGTACACATCCTCTTTAGGAGGAAAACAAAGGTAGTAGGTTTAAAATCTTAAAATAGGCAGCAAAATGAGGATAAATGGGTCCTGAGATCATTACAGAGATTACCATGAGCTACCCTATTAAATAGAGATGAGACTAAAAGAGAATTATGGAAATATTTTAAAAAGTAAATCCTGGAATGGTCTCATATTCAGAATTTGCTTTTTTAGAGCAAATCTTGACTACTTTTCTGGGACCGAGAATGGCATTATAGATCATGGGAACTTTTAAATATTTTTCCCATCATGCTTAGTTGAAAAATTATCTCATCAGAATTCTTCATATAAATAAAGGAAAGAAGCTATGAGATCAATTCAATTATAGGTATATTCTCTGGCTCTGCAGCAGAAAAAGTAAAAAAAGGGATGAAAATAGGAAAACCACCTTCAGCTTTGGGATCAGAAAACTTGGGTCTGAGTTTGGTCTCTACCGCGTAACAGCTGCTGACATTTGGAAATGCGCTTCCTGTCAATGAGCCCAGATGCTTTATGTGCAAACTAGGGATAAACATCTCCACATCACTGAGTTTTTCCTGAGATAAACTGAGGGAATGCATGTAAGTAAGCTCCAAAAACAATGAAGAACTACACATTTTACCTATTATCCAGAAGAAACTAAATGGGACAGATGGGAACTAAATCTGTAACCCTCTTTACAGTTGGGCTGAATTCTAACCAACCCTGGATAGAAAAATTGTATCAGGATGAAAATAATTTACAAAAAAAGGAAAACAAGCCAGAAGCAGACAGCAAGGTTAGGTTTCAAAAAACACATCTCAGAAGGATACTCACATTCTGCCAAACTTCCCATAAAAGGTATCCCTATTCCATCTTTGGAGTAACTGAGGAATTGAAGAGAAGAGTATTAGTGTAAATTACAAATGCGCGAAGAGGGTTCATAATCAAAGCGAGCATAATTTTGGCGAACTAATTAGGATTAATTAGACGCAATGGCGAACACAGTTTTAGTGGTTTCGAGTTACCTGGAGAAATGAATATAATTAGCTAACGCCGAGCCGGCCTGTAGCAGCAGTGCGGCTGTCAGAACCTTTAGGATCACGTGCATGGGCCCTCCCTTCTTGATAGCCTGCCACAATGACTGAGCATAAATGCAAGCAAGCACAAAGTACACCAGGACTAGGAGAAAAAAGAACTCATGTAACCCTGTGGAGAGAAGAAAGGAGTCTGCTTCAGTACAAAGCCAGCGACAGCGTGGGGTTGCTTTCAAATCTTCCTTCAATGTATTTCTAGAACTTGCTATTTTAATTGGGAGTCACAGCATTCCCTTTTGTATGGAAAAAAGGGAAACTGTTAAAATGTAAACAATTTTTTACTTTGGGATAAAGATTTAAATATAAGAAGGCAGATTAAACTAACGTAGATAAAGTCAATCTATAAAATGGTCTATAATCATGGTCAGGGGATAAGCCAGAAGACTAACCATAAGAGCACAGTTTTGCTAAAAAACAGGAAATTAAAACAAGGATTTTAGCATTCAGTTAGACATACTTTTTGCCTCCAAAGTGGATGACTTTAGTATGAAATTTAGGAACAGATTTCATCAACAATAGTTAAATACACCCTGACAATGGTTCTCAAAGTGCGATCCCTGGGCCAGCAGCATCCAGAGGGAACTTGTTAGAAACAGAAACACACATTCTTGGGCCTTATCCCAGCTCTACTGTATTAGAAATTCTGGGAGAGGGGAGCAGCAAACTGTATTTTAATAAGCCCATCAGGTGATTCTGATGGCAAAAGCACAGCTCTGGGATGTACCATTACCTTACATTTCCAGCTAGACAGTTTCAAAATACCTGTTATGACCAGAGTCCCCTTTTGAAGTCAACTGTCTTTAGCTCTTGTCAAAGAGGAAATCCTATGGAGACCATGAGACTCCATTCCACAGTTGACTAAAACTAAGACCTGACCAAACGGCCACCAATCTGAAGACTAGCCACTGACCACCAGAGTAATTTGGGTCTCAAAGATAAGTCAGGCTAATCATATTCTCTCAGGAAATGAAACCACAAAACATGGAAAGAATTAGGCAACAGAAACTGAAACTGAAAGGAGCTGATGTTGGGACAGACCAAAGACATCAGATCAGGCCACAGTGAAATAAATATTTTGAGTAAGCAGAAATTTCGAATAAGCAGAGGGAGTTGGTTGGTAAAGACAGGAACAAAGTAAACGAGCAGACTTTGTATTAAAAACGGTGCCAGTCATTAAGCAGCTTCTAGTTCCTACTAACAGCTTTCTAGTGCAGTGTCCATGCATCCACGTGGATGGACACCCCCTTTTTCTGCAGTACCTGGAATCTTTTGACTGTGTCTTCATTTTTCAGAAATTTCAGAAAATTTTTATCATAAACTAGAGGGCTAGCTTTGAGTTGAATAGCTTACTTACACCGACGTGGTGACATCTAAAGCTAGTCCCTAATACTAGGATTTTATATTGTATCTACATAACACCGGAGTACAGTGCCGGTGGCCGTGAAGGGGGCTGCCTCTGCTGAATCTGTGGATGAACAGTCTAAACTGCGATCACTCCCATCCAATTGCGAGTGCTGAATCTGCTCCAGTTTCCCATGTGAGGTAAGCTCCAATCAACAGGCAGAGAAGGGCGTATTAATCTTGAAAAAGCAATCCAGAAGATGCAAACGGTAGGAAAAACAGTCATTAAACACTTCAATCTCAATCATGTTTTTGGAATGGTTAGGAGGAAAAAAAAAGAGAGAGAAGTAGTATTTCAGCCACTGGGTGTCTCTCCTGCTCTACACACAAAAATGTCACTAGTTACTTCTCTCATCCAGGTGAAAAATCATGTTTAGACTTCAGGAAGAGAAGATCAAATAACTGAAAAGGCATAATCTCTTTTTAAACTCCTTACATAGAAAGTATTCCAGCTTTAGAAATAATGGGATGATAAGCCTGGGATTGTTATAGTAATAGAACAAGACAGAAAATACACTAAACATATTATCACTGAGTGTCAGTAAAATTCTTTATGTGGTCCGGTCTTTTGAATCTTAGTTTTTATTTTTCCTTCTTAGTATAAAGAATTAAATATGGCATTCTTTTGTTTTATTTACTTATAATACTTTACAGAGTATCCATTACAAGATAAAGTTTCAGACTCCATCAGGTTACAAATCTATGACGAAAAGAAAATCCTCAGACTATTTACTGAGTAATCAGAATAATGTAAGAGGAAGGTACTTGTGGAAAGAAGACCCATGTCAGTTGCACAAAACAGGACTATTCAGTATGAAATGGACCTTCCAGAAAAGCTAACATTATAAGCAACAAATTTTTTCATTCAGATGATATATTAAATAACTTGAACTAGCTCAGGACATTTGTATCCTATACTTTATTCATTCATTATTCTTACCTTGACCCTGTCCACAAGATAGTCTAAAGATAAAATGCTGATTCTGCACGCAGTTCTCTTAAATAAATCCCCTCTAGAAGAAAGAAGTCTGTTTTTTTCTCTTCAGTGACCAACTTTACTTTATTCTGTCACCATGCTTCACAAGAAAACAATCTATATTTGTTCACTGTGAAATTAAATTCTAATTATAAGACAGGTGGGAACTAAGTATTAACTCTCACCTATATACAAAAGAAGAAAAATACTGTCAAATGAGCATGCAACAGGCGGCAAACATGTATAAGGAAATGTGTAGATTTTAAGGCAAGCTTAACGTGAAGCAGCACTGGCAAAATTCAGCAGGAAGAAAACTTACAGGACAGCTTCAAAAAACAGTTCCAGCTACATGATGGGAGATGGGAGAAAAGAGGGTAAGAAAAGGGGAGAGTCACTGGAACACTCCTGCCTACCCCAATGCCCATGCCACCCGCAAGTGTTTCAAAATATATCCTGATTAGCCTCAACTGACCACAGAAAATTCCAACACCCCTGCCAATAAGAGGTAAGCCTAACCCTGTACTCGGACATACTAATCTACCCTCATCTCTTTCTGACACCTTCACTTATATTTGTCTTATGATGTTGTAGAGCAAGGGCACGTGACCTAGCTCTGGCCAGTGAAATCTGACGAGGGAGCTTCTGAGAAAGGTTTCCTTGCTCTCAAAAAAGAGCTACTGAATATTGTCACTATCTGGGTGTGAAGCCCACAAAGTGAACTGCAGTTACCTTTGAACATGAAGGAGCTAGCCTAACGACAAAGCTGACGGTCAGAAGATAGGAGGGTACAGAGATGCTGAATAAACCACTGTGAAGAAGCCTCAGAAATTCTTGTTACGTAAGAATCTAATCTCCTTATTGTCTAATTTCCTTATTGTCTATACCACTTGCATGAGAGTTTTCCATTATTTTAAATCAAAAGCATTCCAACATGTTACCAGAGCTAATATCTGGAATCTTAAAAACAATGAGATAGCAGATGTGACAAAGAATAATATTACAATATTATTCTGATGAAAACCAGCCTACTTTAGATGATAATGCTTTAACTTTCGGGATTCTGAGTACTTCTTTTGGTCTCTAACAAGAGCACAAATATAGTCAATGAAGATTCTAATTTTTTTAAGAAGCAGTTTTACTTTATTCTACCTTAAAACATAATATTCCTATGTAGTATTTTGTCAAGTGGCATCATCCTTGCCTTAGTGTTTTTTTTAAACCTAGACCAATCTGTAAAATATGAGATTAACCAAAGTCTGATAGATACAAAATACATAATTTGTTTGAAAGAAAACAAATTATAAAATCTAACCAGAATAACATGTAACATTAATTGCAGATATCTGTACCAGGTTATTCTAATTCAAACTCCTTAGACACATAGCTTAATAGTCAATTATCACTAAAAACCATAGCAAATCAATTTTCCCTACTTAGGGCAGAAAATTAGACAAATGAGCAAAAGTTTCTAAAATAAACTAACTGGGGATTCTTTCCTGGAAAGAAATTCCATACCTGAGGCTACAGAATAGGAAGAATCCCTCTCAAGGCTCTACTGTAAAACCAATATAACAAAGCAATGTGGGATATGGACTTTTTTTTTTAAGATTTTATTCATTTATTTGAGAGAGAGAGTGGGAGAGAGCACGAGATGGAAGAACAGAGGGAGGAGAAGCAGACTCCCCGCTGAGCAGGGAGCCCAGTGTGGGACTTGATCCCAGAACTTGGGATTATGACCTGAGCTGAAGGCAGACGCTCAACCAACTGAGCCACCCAGGCACCTGGGATATGGACTTTCAGATCACTGGTTCCGCACATTAGAATCAACTTGGAGCTTCAACAAACCACAGCTGCCTGGCTTTCACTCCAAAACCAAATCCATCTGAGTCTCAGGGGGTGGAGATCTGTATTTTTTTTAAAGCTCTCCAGATGCACAGTGATGGGTTGAAGACCACTGATTTAGACTTTGATGTAGAACTAATCATATGTCATGGCAATGTAGAATTAATCATATTTTAAGGGTTTTACGTACCTTAATCAATAAAATGATGTGATCCCTAGGAATTAAGCCAGCCATATAACAGCTGAATACTTCTGAGTACGTCTGGCACTTGTAAATAATCAATCCCCACAGATTAGCCTTGCACAGAATCATGCTTAATGAAAATACATACTGTAGTGAGGCTTTATCCCTCATTTAAATATTATTGGTGACATGACCATGTAACTTTCTCCATTCTAGTATAAGACAGATTTTAAACATAAACATAAGCATCAAATCAAAATCAGTCTTGGAGAAGGCAGGTCAGAAAGAGTCCGGACTAAGAGCTGAATTAGAATGGTTCCTGTGAACCCTAAAGAAAAAGCTAGCCATAATTCAGGATGCTGGAAAAAACACTGGAAGACGTGGGCAAGGTTCAGGGTGAGCCTGGGCAAGTATGGCTGACATTCAGTGGCCCAAGGGTGGTACAGGCCACAAATGTGATCACTCTATGGCCTACAGTCTATGTTCAGATGTCTATAATTGGGAATGAGGAAAGTGACCAAAAATGGGAGCCTGGATAAGGAAGCAAAAAAAAGTATATCAGGATCTAGTAGAGTCTCATGGGTCCACAAAATAAATAAAACAACCTCTTGAGCTACAGGCAAATTGCCAGGAAGGCAAGAGGGGGAGGGGCTTTTGGACCGACTACACTATAGGCTGTAGTGTTTGCACATACAGTGAATGCAGCAGAGTATTACTTCCTGCTGAGCCTTTACCAGTCCTAAAAATAACTGTCATATGAAATAATAAAGACTTAGGGTTAAAAGAGACCTTACAAGCAATTTAGTCCACCTATCCATCCAAAGCTATCAGTTAGACCTGGGTTTCATCGATGCCTTTCCAAACTACAGAAAATAAATGTCAACATCTTTTATAAAGATAAAAAAAAATGGGATCCCTGGGTGGCTCAGTCGGTTAAGCATCTGACTCTTGATTTAGCTCAGGTCATGATCTCAGGGTCGTGGGATCGAGCCCCATGCTGGGCTCTGTGCTGGGGGCTTGGAGCCTGCTTGGGATTCTCCCTCTGCCTCTCCCACCCTCCCCCCTCTAAAATAATAATAATAATAATAATAATAATAATAATAATAATAATAATAATAATAATAAATAAAGATAAAAGAAATGGTAGGACTGAATTGACTTCCTTTTCTTTATTTTTAAAGATTTTATTTATTTATTTGACACGGCGGGGTGGGGGAGCCAGCACAAGCAGGGGGGAGCGGCAGGCAGAGGGAGAAGCAGGCTCCCCTCTGAGCAAGGAGCCCAATGTGGGGCTCGATCCCAGGATCCTGGGATCACGAACTGAGCAAAAGGTAGCCGCTTAACCGACTGAGCCACCCAAGTGCCCCTGAATTGACTTCCAATAATGATCCATACTGATCCAAAGTACTGTTAGGTAAAATTTAACCTTTAAATTCACTTGCATTCAAAAGTAATTTGAGTAGCTTACCCTTCTGTCATTTCCTTCACAGAAAGAACTTTTAAATTGAACTATTTAAGAATGTTTGGCTCTCCATTCTGTTGCTATGTAAATATTTCTTTCAGACTAGAAGATACTAAAAAATATTTATCTCTTCATACATTAAGTTACTGGTGACCTCCTGTCCATAACATATGCCCCTTGAGTTACATTTCTAGCTGTGGCAATTTACACTTTGAATTAAACAATCGGTTTCATCTAATGTAGCCTCAATTTCTTTCTACCTGCACCCACTCACCTTGATGGCCAATGAGATTTAATGGGACTGAATTTCTAAGCAGATTGATTCTTCCAGATGGGTAATGAACTCATTAAGAAGCAAACTCCTAGTCCTTTTCTTTGATAGACATCCTACAATCTTAGTCTTCATTCTGACATGTCAATTTACAAATCTGCTATAATACTGTACAGCATGTTTACCATTAATCAAAAGAAGTCATTCATTTCTGTTTGGGCTATGAATCTTACTTCTGTAGGGCAATACGCAGCCAACCCTAAAATTTTGATGAAATATTTTATGGGAGTAAAACAGATTTTGGAAAACATTATAAACTTTGATCATTCCTAAAATGGTTGCTCCCATGAAGACAATCCCTACTATCTTTAAACAACTTGGTGAAAGGACAGCCATACAAAATAGTGCAGGTTCCATCTCACTTAAAAATTGATTTTCCTTTCTCCCGCTCCCACTCCCCCTGCTTGTGTTCCTGCTCTTGCTATCTCTCTCTGTCAAATAAATCTTTTAAAAAAAACTTGATTTTCCAATTTAGATTGCTCAATTTATTAGCATTTTTCTGTTTATAAAAATAGTGCTAGGTTATCAAAAAAACGTTTAGAATGCATAGAGAAAACTAAAAATCCATAATTCTACTCCCCAAAATATAGAAACAATCTACTACTATTTTTGTACTTCTTTCTGCTTAATTCTCTGTATTTTTTAACATACTTGAAATCATAAAATATAAAATTTAGTGTTCTGCTCTTCTAACTTAATAGTATGGCTATTATTAAAATGCTATAAGAGGATTCACTTACCATCTGCATACTGCTGGACACAAGTTGTTCTTCATTTTTAATATTCAAAAAACATAACATGAAGATATTTGTGCACAAGTTTTTTCTATATTTAGGACATCTATTTAAGTATATATTCTTACCAGATTCTCCAGCACTAAAATGATCAAATGGATTCCCTTCAGCATCCGGGTTTAGTAACATCATTTCAAATGGGATATCTTCCGCCTGAGAATTCTCATTGTCATTTTTGCATGTATACTTGTCAGCATAAAACACGTGCCACGTTTGTGGATATGGAACCTGGGACACGGTCAGATTATGTTCAGTCTGATTCATGGTCACTTTAAAGAGAAAGAAAATAGCACTTTCAAAGCAAAACTCTCAAATATATTCATTGTTTCAGTCATATAATCAACTCAAGAGTTAGATTCTTTTGTTTTGTTCGGTCTTGAAAATCGAAGCCCTGGTGTAGTACTGAATAAGGCCTGTAAATCATAAGGCAGATAAAAAATAATGTATCCTCACCAAAGAGGTCACTATAAAAGTACTGTGAAACACCACAAATGAGTAGAATGGTTTCAATGAAGTTTTGAATCTGAATTTTAAATATTTCAAAGTTTTCAAGTGGATTAGTAACATTAAGAATTTTTTATTGTGGTAAAATATACATAAACACAAAAGTTACCATTTTAGCCATTTCGAAGCATACAGTTAGCTCTGTGGCATTAAGTACATTCACAATGTAACAACTTCATGACAATGGGTAACAACTACAGTGACATTTTTGAAAATTATATTTGAGTTAAATTTAAAATGGAGCATTCAACTCAGGGATTCATTAGATCTAAAAACTATGACCCACAAATACTTTCAAAAGATTTTCCAAATCTTTTTCTCATTGATTATTCTTTACAAAGGTACTGAAAGGAGAAAAGTAGAAATTACCAGAATATAAGAGTTGTTCTACTGGGTCAGGTCTACACAGTGGGGGGATGGGGAGGCTCATGAATGTTGGCATTACACAGATCTGTGTTTGAATCCTGGCTCCAATACTTACTTACCTTCTGTGTAAACTTGGGCAAGTTATGTAAGTAATGACACTTTCTTCATCTGTAAAATGAAGATAGTACTTAGAGCAAAGAGTTGGTGGAAGGACTAAGTTACATGAGTCATTTACCACAATACCTGTCCTATAGTAATTGCCGAATGAAGGTTAATTCTCCTTTTCCTTTCTTTGAAACAAGGTAGTTATACTAATAAATGGTTCTTTTTTTTTATTATGTTCAGTTACCCACTGTACAGCACATCATTTGTTTTTGATATAGTGTTCAATGATTCATTAGTTGTGTATAACACCCAGTGCTCATCACAACACATGCCCTCCTTAATACCCATCACCCTGTTACCCCATCTCCCCTCCCCCGTCCCCTCTGAAACCCTCAGTTTGTTTCCCGGAGTCCAGAGTCTTTCATGGTTTGATTCCCTCTCTGATTTCTCCCCCTTCAGTTTTCCCTCCCTTCCCCTATGGTCCTCCTTATGTTCCACATATGAGTGAAACCATATGATAATTGTCTTTCTCCGATTCATTTATTTCACTTAGCATAATCCCCTCCAATTCCATCCATGTCGATGCAAATGGTGGGTATTCATCCTTTCTGATGGCTGAATATTCCATTGTATATATATGTACCACATCTTCTTTATCCATTCATCTGTTGAAGGATATCTTGGCTCCTTCCACATTTTGGCTATTGTGGACATTACTGCTATCAACACTGGGGTGCATGTGCCCCTTCTTTTCACTGCGTCTGTATCTTTGGGGTGAATACCTAGTAGTGCAATTGCTGGGTCGTAAGGGTAGCTCTATTTTTAACATCTTGAGGAACCTCCATACTGTTTTCCAGAGTGGCTGTACCAGCTTGCATTCCCACCAACAGTGTAAGAGGGTTCCTCCTTCTCCACATCCTTGCCAACATTTGTTGTTTCCTGTTTTGTTAATTTTTGCCGTTCTAACTGGTGTAAGGTGGTATCTCACTGTGGTTTTGATTTGTATTTCCCTGATGGCTAGTGACGTTGAGCATAATAAATGATTCTCAATCCCGGGTAATTGTGCTCCCCTCCAGTGCATTTGAAAATGTGTAGGGACAGTTCTGCTGTCACAATAGTTAAGAAGGTCCTTGGAGGGAGGCCGTGCTAAACTTCATGCAATCCAAGGTAAAGTTTCATACAATAAAGACCTGTTCCACCCAAAATGCCAATAGTACCCCCTCTGAGAAACACTTAATGATGTCTACGATGCCTTCCAAATCTGAAACTATGATTCTGAGGCACTCACTAACACTACCACGAAGTAGTAGGAGAATAGTGTCTCAAATGCTATGTATAATACAAAGAGTAGAAGAGTTAAAAGAGGAAGTCTTGGTGCTATTACTTAATAACCTTGCGGCTCAGCAAATAAATTGCTTAACCTCTCGAAATCTGTTTCTTCAGTAGTAAAATTAAGATACCTGACCTGTTTAACACAGAGTTCTTGTGAGGAGCAAATGAGACAGTATCTGAAAATCCTACATGAAGAGCTTAATTCTATACAAAGTAGAGTATTCTTAAAATATAAGATTATTCCCAATTCTAGATTGCCCCCATAGCATGCCAGTTAGTCTTGATCTTTTTCTCAATTGAAGAAAAATGCTTTTTAATAAACAAAAGACACTTTCTGAGATAAACGTGGGGCTCTGCATTGGGGCATTATGAACTTATTCATTTTCTTAGGTGTCATGATGGTATTGTTATTATGGAGAATTGCTCATGACACCTACAGCTTATTTTCCCATGCCTTGATTAAAAACAAAAATCACACACACAAATGTAAAGCAAATGTAGCAAAATAGTAACAAATACTGAATCTAAGCAAAGGATATACTGATATTAGTTGTACTACACTTTCAACTTACCTGTATGATTGAAAACTTCCTGAATAAAATGTTAAAAAACACTATTTTTAAGTTGTCTTTATAAATGAGATACGGATTTATCTAGTCAGGATTCAAATTTTGAGGACTTAGACTTTACAACTGGGAATTTCATTAACAGTAGTTAAAGGGGACAAGATGATTTTTATTAACAATGCCACAGCATTTTGGGGGGGGCTATATTAATTTAGCTGATATTTATACTACTGTTTTTGGTTTATTTTTTTACTGTATAGCCTCTTGAAAAATATAGCAAAGACTCTAGTTTCTGTTAAATATTTGAAGACCTTTAATAAGAATTCAATATATGAGCAATAGTGGCTCAGAAATTAGGCTTTTGAAATGAGCAGCTCACAATTACATAATCCGAACTTTATAATAGAAAGGTTCTGATATGTTGCCATTTTATCACTTGCACTTTTTTCTTAGATAAAACAACATAAAAATTAACCATTACATTTTTCACCAATATACTTCTTAATGTTTCATTTTCAATTATGCAGATTTACATAAAATAAAAACAAAAGTATGCTTTAAAAAGTGATACTGGCCTTCAGTTATTTGTCTTGTGGCCTTTTTTAGCAAGCCTGGGAAACAAGCATCTTGACAAAACTGTATGTTCATTGTTTCTGAGACAAAAGACTACCACACAGCATACGTAGTCCATGCTGATGTAATTAGTATCTCACATATTAACAAAACTTGAACTGCAGAGAATGGTGTCACATGGCTAGCTGCCCAATCATGTTATAAAAGAAAATGCACAGGATAATAAAATGCTAACAGCTTGCAATGATTTATAAAATATACCAAATGTACAAAAGGAATTATTATGTGTGATATAAAAATACTGAAAATGTTTTGTAAGCAAAATATTTAGCTCTTGTAACCTGAACCTCCTTGTTAAATTTTTTTACATAAAGTCATAATTTTCAGTGCTTTTAAATGTCTCATTTGCTTTCTTTAAAAACCTACAAAATAGCTTTTGTCATTTTTAAAAAATCTGATGTTTTATGACTTTACTGAAAGAGGAAAAAGGAAGACTGAAAAATAATTTCTCAAACATTAATTTGGGGGAATGTATACACAAAAGCAACATTCGACACTACAGAATTTTTCAAATCTGCTAGTCTTTTCAAAGTTCACAGCAGCAGTAAGGTTTTACAGAGGAGTTTGGCATAGTTAATGAACTCATTACCAACTAGGTGAAAGGCTACGAATTCTTTTTTTTTTTTTTTAAGATTTTATTTATTTGACAGAGCACAAGCAGAGGGAGAGAGAAGGAGAAGCAGGTTCCCTGCTGAGCAAGGAGCCCGATGTGGGACTCGACCCCAGGATCCCGGGATCATGACCTGGGCCGAAGGCAGCCGCTTAACCGACTGAGCCACCCAGCCGTCCCATGGCTACTAATTCTTTAAAGTCTCATTAATGGCCAGGAAATGAGAATTACTTCTACAAGAAATTATTTAAAAATATGTGGTACTACTACATTGTCATGAATTTAAGGATATGCTTTTTGTTTCAACGCACCAAAGCTCCTGAATAATAACATACTATAAATATGGCAGCTAATATATAAAAGTTAGAGAATATTTCTTAAGACTTGGCTTTTGTTGCTGGGAAAAGAGTTGATGAAATTTGCAGAAAGCAATATATATATATCATCAGTATTTAATTTTTTCCAGGTCCCAAAATTTAACAAAACAATCTTCATTCCTCACAAATTCCTATTTCCTGAGATCTTCCATTCCAATAATTCCAAAGAATACCCTCGCACTCAACAGAAGAATAGAGAAGAAGGAAAAATAGCCTAAGAAACAACTGCAAGAGGTTTTTGGAAGCTGCAGCCTTGTATATATATGCAACTCCATCCTAAAGAGTTATAATTAGAATGGACTTTCAGGAACCTTAATGAAAACTTATCCAACTTTCTGGTTGTACAGATAGGTAAAGTGAGGCTCAAAGAAAACAGGCAGTGATTCTCAGTTTAGCAGTCTTTCCACTGCACTGTGCTCTCTCCCTGCACACATAAGGTCTGTGACTGAAGGTATATGACTGATACAAAATTTATGTTTTTGCAAGTGTACATAGTATATAGTATAACATTAACAACATAATATAAAAAACTAAATTCCTACAGCTCAAAGCTTTAAATTGCCTGCTAAGTTTTTACTGGAAGAAAAAGACCAAATACAAAGCAATCAACCTACCAGCCAGATATGAAAGGTACCAAATACAAAGCAATCAACCTAGCAACCAAAAAAACCCCTCAATCTCTTCCACAAATGGTGTTGGGAAAACTGGACAGCTACAACCAAAAGAATGAAACTGGACCACTCTCTTACACCATACACAAAAATAAAATGGATTAAAGACCTAAGTGTGAGACCTGAAACCATAAAAGTCCTTGAAGAGAGCACGGGCAGTAATTTCTCTGATCTCAGCTGTAGCAACATTTTTCTAGATATGTCTCCTGAAGCAAGGGAAATAAAAGCAAAAATAAATTATTGGGACTACATCAAAATAAAAAGCTTCTGCACAGTGAAGGAAACAATCAACAAAACAAAATGACAACATTGGAGAAGATACTTGCAAATGACATATCTGATAAAGGGTTAGTATCCAAAATATATAAGAACTTATACAACTCAACACACCAAAAAACCACAAATAATCCATTAAAAAATGGGCAGAAGACATGAACATTTTTCCAAAGAAGACATACAGATGGCCAACAGACACATCAAAAGATGCTCAACATTATGCACCATCAGGGAAATGCAAATCAAAAACAATGAGATATCACCTTGCACCTGTGAGAATGGTTAAAATCAAAAACACAAGAAATAACAACTGTTGGGTGCCTGGGTGGCTCAGTCGTTAAGCGTGTGCCTTCGGCTCGGGTCATGATCCTCGAGTCCTGGGATTAAGCCCCACATCAGGCTCCCTGCTCTCTCTCTCTCTCTCTCTCTCTCTCTCTCTCTCACACACACACACACACACACACACACACAATGTCATAAAAAATGAAATCTTCCATTTGCAAAAACTTGGATGCATTTATAAAGTATACTGCTTTTCCCTCTCCCACTCCCCCTGCTTGTGTTCCTGCTCTCGCTCTCTCTCTGTCAAATAAATAAATAAAAATCTTTTTTTTTTTTTAAAGATTTTATTTATTTGACAGAGAGAGAGAGACAGCGAGAGAGGGAACACAAGCAGGGGGAGTGGGAGAGAGAGAAGCAGGCTTCCCGCGGAGCAGGGAGCCCGATGTGGGGCTTGATCCCAGGACCCTGGGATCATGACCTGAGCCGAAGGCACACGCTTAACGACTGAGCCACCCAGGCGCCCCAATAAATAAAAATCTTAAAAAAAAAAAAAAGAAAGAACAACTGTTGGCGAGAATGTGGAGAAAGAGGAACCCTCAATGCACTGTTGGTGGGAATGCAAACTGGTGCAGCCACTGTGTAAAACAGTATGGAGGTTCCGCAAAAAATTAAAAATAGAAATACCATATAATCCAGTAATTCCACTATGGTGTATTTACCCAAAGAATACAAAAACATTAATTTGAAAAGATATACACACCCCTATGTTTACTGCAGCATTATTTACAATAGCCAAAACATGGAAGCGGCCCAAGTGTCCACTAGTAGATGAATGGATAAAGAAGAGGTGATACACACACACACGCACACACACACAAAATGTCATAAAAAATGAAATCTTCCATTTGCAAAAACCTGGCTGTATCTAGACAGTATACTGCTAAATGAAATAAGTCAGTCAGAGAAAGACAAATACCATATGATTTCATTCATATGTGGAATTTAAGAAACAAAACAAACTAACAAAGAAAAAAAAAGACCAAAAAAAGACTCTTAACTACAGAGAACAAATTGATGGTTACCAGAGGGTAGATGGGTGGAGGGATGGGTGAAAAAGATGAAGGGGATTAAGAGAACATTTATCATGATGAGCACTGAGCAATGTACAGAGTTGTTTAATAACTATATTATACACCTGAAACTAATATAACACTGTATTAACTATACTGGAATTAAAGTAAAAAAACAAAAATGAAAGCCCTTCAACCCTAAGCTCTATGACAATTCATCCTACAAACACTTAGTAAACTAAGCACTAGGGTATGGTAAATTTTCATTCTCATACTACCATGTAACTAACATTCATAGTACTTACCACAATTGCAATTTCACATTTATTCCATTGATCAGATTCATTTCTGTCACCCCCACTAACCTTAAGAGTACATTTTGGTCCCTGATTTATCACAGGTGCCTTGCCTAGTATATGAAACAATGGAAGTGCTCAGTGAATGAGTGAATGAGTAGACCAAAAGAGCCCTGCTGCTCTGACTGATTTCATAACAAATACATACAATGTAAAGTGGTAACTATAATATGTGCTATGGGAGAAAACAAGCTATAAAAACTCAAATGTCAACTTAGTATTGGAAGGGCCAAAGAGGAAGCGAAGAACAAACAAAGTCTGTGCAAAGGCCCAGGATAGCACTGAAATAAAACAAGCCTACAAATAAAATGAGGGAGGAGGGGACAGTGCTGTGAGATGGAACTGGGGGGTAACAATGGCTAGACCCTGATGGCTTTGCTGATCAGGTTAAGGAGATCTGTCTTGTCCTAACAGCAAAAGAAAATGACTGGAATATTTCAAGGTGTGGTGAGGAAGTGAACGTGACATGATCAAATCCGCTGTTTAGAAAGATCACTCTGGTTACAGGGGGCACGAGCATGGCTGCAGTAGCTGGAGAGGAGACTACTACAACAGGCAAAAGATTATGGCAGCCTAGAATAACAGGGTGGGGGCAGAGACAAAAAAAAACAAATGAATTCCAGAGATATTCAGAAGTCACTTACTGACAAACTGGAAGAGGATGGAGAGGTCAAAGAGGGAGTGTTGGAAGACTCCCTGGATTCTAGCTTGTTTATTGGACAGATGGTGGCGCCAGGTCCTGAACAAGGAGCGCTGGAAGAGGAAGAGGACCAGGTTTGGATGGGCAAGATGATGAACTGGTTTTGGACATTATAAGGAGTGGGAATGGAAGGTTAGAACTTTTTATCCATATGTGGAACATTTAGATGACCAAATTGGTATAGAAGGAAAAGATAACTGATAATGAACATTTGCACAAATTTCCCAGGTAAAAAAACAAACAAACAAAACGAATTTCCCAGGTAAGTTCTGAAAATCAGGGGAAGGGTAAAATGAGTTTATGCAACTATCTCTTTGATGTCTGAATCTAGTCATTCAAGACTTCTTCAGCATACTGTCAATGTCATCTCATTAATCTAAATAAGAGATCCCCACAAGAGGTGGCAAGGATTGGGGGGCTTCTACTCTTTTTTTTTAAACTATTTATTTATTTATTTGAGAGAGAGAACATGATCCGGGGGATGGGGGTGGGAGAGGGATAGAGAGAATCTCAAGCAGACTCCACGCTAAGTGTAGAGCCCAATGTGGGGCTCGCTCTTGCAATCCTGAGATCATGACCTGAGCCGAAATCAAGAGTCAGATACTCAACCAACTGAGCACCCAGGCACCCCACACTTATCCCTATTCAGCTAGCTGCCTTATGAGGGACCCAGAGAGCTGATGAGACTAGGAAGACTAAAAGTTCAGAAAATGGCAATGTTTTACTTGACTAGATTAAAAGAAGATTAAAAGTCACTGATATGCAGAACATGGTAGGGGAAAAGGGGGTGAAATAGGGGGAAAAGAGAGGAGAGAGATAATTCCTACTTTTTCTCATGGATGCTTCACACTTCTAGTATCGCCTACAACCAATTAACTTCCAAGGGGTAAAATGGGTAGCATGGTATATGCCCTTCATTTCTACAGAAATTAAAAAGAGTTTCACTAATTCTGGATAGTGCACCCTAATACTTGGGATAGTGTTGATGAGAATGGAAGGGTTCAAGGATACAGGCAACTAGGATAATAAAATTAGAGCTTCTCCAGAAACAAATCTGGAAGTTTACAAATTATGTGGTGCTGGTACATCCTAAAATGACACACTTTGTCACCATGACTAGGTCCCATGTTCCAATAACATGTTGCACTTGGGCTAAATCATACAATTAATGAGATAATGCATATTTAGTGCTTACTCAGTGCTAGCAGATAATAAGCATTCAACCAATGCTATTGTTCATTCCATGCTGCCACTGGGCCAAAATATATTTGCCATACTGGTATGAATTATGTGACTTACTGGTAAGAAGTCCGAATGAAATAAAGTATGCCTTTATACACTATCTGGATATTTTTCAAAAATTTTTAATGAGAAGGGGAGGGGAGAGGCATTCTATCCTTTGATCAAGGAAAACTTCAGCTTAAAATGTACTAGACAAAATGTCATCACAGTGTGATGTGTCATGAAACATCTTGGTATGAAAACAAAGATTTCAACATTCAGGAGGAAAAAAAAAAAGTATCTAATGATCAAAGAAAAAAGGATATATACTCACTTGTCAACTGAGCTTTGGATAATTTTTCACCACAACTATAACCATGACTGCTGTCCTGTAGCTTTAGCCATTCCTGGGCTTGGAACAGGTAGAGTTTAGCTTCTTTTCCAACAGCTACTGCTATATTGTTGATTCTGACACACAGAAGAGCATGGTCACCTTGACATTAAAACAAAAATTATTAACTAGTTTGGTCTTGTATGGAACTGACACGGTAAGACAATTCAACACCTCTATCAAAATAGGAATTTAAAGAGCACAGAGTTTTTCTTTTTTAATTTTTTAAATTTAAATTCAGTTAATTAACATATAGTGTATTATTAATTTCAGAGGTAGAGCTCAGTGATTTATCAGTCTTAAAGAATACCCAAGAACACAGTTTTTCTTAAATCTCACTTAACTAGATAGATCATACTGGAATGAGCATCCCATTCAGGTGCAAATCAAAAGACTATTCATATTAATTATCCAAATTAATGTGTGGTATCTCCTTACACTTCCAATGAAGAGTGATGCCATTTCACTGAATAAACGGCAACTTCTGCTGTATCTGGACATTCACTATAACAGATTTTTTGCCTCATTTTACCACCACTCCATGTCTTTAATATTTGTTCATAAACTATCTGTAGAAATTTCCCACCAAAGTTTTTCTTGTTTTCTAATATAACATGTGTGTTAATATTATACTTTTAACGTAAAAAATTGGCATAGCTAATAGCGAGAAAGTTTAAACAAATTAGTTTGGGGGTAGACATTTTACACCTGATAAAAAATTTGCCATCTGTGACTTTTACAAAGGAACTTGCAGAACAATAGATGGTGTGAGACATTATAGAATGAGCCTGGTTGCACACACTGAGTACATTTAAGGCCCTGAACAGAAATGGCAAAAAGTAGTTGCCTCTAGGGAAAGGGACTCTGGGTGAGGAGAAGTAAAGCAGGAGACTGTTTTCATTTTAAGATCTCTTCTGTGCTGTTGTCATGTTTGTTATTATAATTACCATTTTGTTAAACATTTTAAATAAATTTAAATGTATAGTATGTATCAAGCAATGTCCAAGTCTCCTACATAAATTGATTACATTATAAATTATCCAGAATTTTAGAAGTGACTCGAAGGCTTAACATCTTAAATCGCATTCTGAGTTAATTATTTCAGTATAATTTAGTTTTATTATTTTACTGAATTCAAATTCACTGAAGACTGGTAATAATAAAAAAATATATATATACACACACACATAGAAAGAGCATGTATGTGTGTTAATATACTTGGAACACTCAATTCCTCAAACTTCCTTGAGATATCTGGATTTCCAGCACTGTCCAGCTCGGGCCATTTATTGTACTGTCTTTGCTATCACTGTCAGTATTCAAAGTACAGTTACAGACAGCTGATTTAAGAAAACTAAAAATGTGACCTAAAAAATAATAAAGTTTCTAGAGTTTCCTCTTCACCCAAGGTCTGTGCCACACTGGATTTTGGAAAACTTTACTGAACTATTTTAAACACTTCGATTTTTAAAAAAAATTTCAGGTTCCCCTCCCTTTACACCACCAATTCTGTAATTTCGCAATACTTTAAATTCCTTTCCTACACCAAAATAGTTTCTTGTTTCTATTATCTTCTCTTAAGAATCCTCCCTGGGACAACAATCTGACAGTGCATCTTTTAATGCTAAAAACTGTATTAAGGATACCAACCTCATCAAGGCAAATAATTATTTGCAATACAATACCAGTCAAATTCAGTACCAAAAGTATGTACCAAGAAAATCACTTAAATTTCGAGAGTGCAAATAAAGCAAAAATTAGAATGAACTGCAAATTCATTCATTTTTTAAGACTTACTGATTTTTGAGGGAGACCAGGAAGTAAGAATCAAATGCAGTTCTCCTTTCGGAAGGGCCAGATACAAATGATGAAGCTTCCAGGACACACCTACATGCATTTCTGCCAAGTGAATGCTAGGCCTCCTGGTCCATGGTAAATCTACTCCTTTAGTAGTGGAGTAACCAAACTGTCCTAGCAATTGTGACCACTAGATTAGCAGGTATTTTATTTGGTTTCCAAAGCCTCTCTGCTTCAAGTAGGTTTTAGCAAATTATCTTAAGAACAAAGACTAAACCCAGTAAATCTAAGTTCTGGAGCTCAAATGCACACGTTAAGTACAGTGCCTTAGTGTATATAATCAGGCTGAGACAGGAGTGAGCAAACGATGCTCCCTTGAGGGAAGGATCTCGAAAGATGCAGCAGAGAAAGTCCTCCGTACTTTCGTTCGTGTGCGGAAGGTGGGGGAAACGGTGTTTCAAGTGCAGAATGCAATCACTAATCGGGCGGGAGGGTGCTGACCAGGGAGTGGGGAGCACCAACAGCAGGGCTGGCATTAATGCATCCCTCGATTCCCGCAGCTGCGGTCGGGGGTGGGCCGCCGGCGGCGACGCGGGAAGTGCAGGTGGGGCTGGGGTCAGTCCCCCGCGTCGCCGCCGCCGGCTCCAGGCCTCCCCCAGCGAGGCGGAGAGGCGCGGCCCGCGGGATGGGCCCACGCGCCTGCATCCCGCTCCCCGCCCCCGCACCTACCGTGGAACGCGAAGTGGCCGATGCTCTGGCCCTCAGCGTCTCGGGCCGCGGCGCTGCTGAAGCTGCCCCGCAGGGTCTTACCCTGGCTGCCCGGCGGCCACCAGCAGCAGGTGAGGGCCACCGCCAGCAGCCGCAGGGCCCCCATCCCCCTCCTTCCCTTCCGGCACCCACACCCCGGCCCTCACGGCCTGCTGCCGCCCTCCCCACGTCGGCAGCCGGGGCGGTGGGAGGAGGGGGCGGGACCGGCGTCCCGGATCCGCCCCCGGGAGACTGACAACCTATGTGGCAGGCCCCTCCGCCACGAGCCCAGTACACCCACCAATCAGAGGCTGAAATGGGCGGGACGTGCGGAGGCGCGCGTCCCATCACTCCCCAGCCTGCTGGCTAGTTCCCGCCTTTTTTATGGAGACTCAGAGGGATGTTGCTTTAGGTTACGGAAAAAGCCTTGCCCTCCGTCGTCCCCGTGCGTGGTGCTACTGCGCATGCGTGGGGTCGCCCGCACGGCTCCCGAGGGCTTTCCGGGGTGGGGTTTGTAGGATTCAGGAAGAACTGGGGATCGCAGGATGGCCCCGGTTCTGATGAAGGAAGGAAAGCTCCCGCAAAGCCCGAGGTGCCTATGCAACCTACTGAACGTTTCCGCTTTACTGTCTCAAAGACACGTAACTGTACATGTACAAGTTTAACGCATGAATTCTCTTGGCACGTCTAACCGATTTTAACCTCTTAGGTTCCCTGTGTTCTTGAGTTTTATCGTCAGACAGCTGGGAAGTATAGCTTACATCCGTACATACAATCATCTCAATGATTCTGGGCGGCGATGGTAGGAAGGAGTTGTCAATGTCGATATCCAGACCATTATGGTATGATCTTACTTGGCCTGTGGCAAGTAACTTGCCACCAGTCTTAATTTTCTCCAGTTGGCCACACACAGCCCACCTCTACCCTAGAGCCACAGAAAGCTATGGGGAACGAAATTTGACTGCATCACTTCCTTCAAAGGTTTTTGATCGCCTGTAGTACACAAGCAAAACTCTTTAGAATATAGCTTTCAAGTCTCTCAAATTTCCATCTCGACTTTTTGGCTCCATCCTTACCGAGCCACGGTCAGTGCGCTGAACACTCCCAAGTTCTCCTCTCTGAGCTTGTAGCCCTTGCAGATCCATTGTATTTAAGAAGTGAGACTATTATTAGATTGTATGCAGTTTTTCATTATTACATATAAGCAGTGTATTGGTGAACATATTTGTGTTTTTCTGCAATTATCTATATTATGCATCATGGAATTTGGGAATCATAGGTTATGTGCATTTGACCTTTTCCTATATGTTACCCTTTTGCCCCTGAAAAAGGTTGTAACAAATGACATTTCCACATATACTGGGTATTCTCAGTCTTCTTATACTTTGCCAAACATTATATGAAAAAAGAGAAAAAAAAAAAACCCAAGGTATTTATTTATCCATTCAACATTAACTGATCATTGATTCTGTGCCAGGCCTGGTCCCACGGCCTTGGGATTATAGCAGGAAACAAAACAAAGCCCCTGCCCTCCCTAGCCAGTACTAATGAGTAGTTCAACATAAATGTTGATGACTGCTATGGAGAAAAAAGAAGGATAAAGTTGTTAGGCCGGGCTGGGGTAGAGCTTGCTATTTTAATTGGGGTGGTCAAGGAAGGACTCTCTACAAGGGTGACCTTCAATCTGAGAACTGAAGAAGTAAGGGTAGGGGCGTCTGGGTGGCTCAGTCGTTAAGCATTTGCCTTCGGCTCAGGTCATGATCCCAGGCTCCTGGGATGGAAGCCCACATCGGGCTCCCTGCTCTACGGGAAGCCGGCTTCTCCCTCTCTCTCCCACTCCTCCCCGCTTGTGTTCCCTCTCTCACCGTCTCTCTCTCTCTGTCAAATAAAAAAATAAATAAAATCTTGGGGAAAAAAAAGAAGTAAGGGTGAAAACTAGGCAGACATCTCGGGAAAGGGGATACAAGGAGTGACAGGCAAGCTGGGGCACAGTGAGTATGAGCGAGAATAGTTAAGGGTAGGCTCTAGGGACATCTTCACCATGATTGCCAGCAGCATGCATTGTCGGTAATAATATTAACAACAAAGGAGAAGGCATTTTGCAATTGCAACCTCCCATTTCCACACTTTGCAAGCAGAGAACTTCTGGAGTTAGCTCAACTGGTGAGTAATCTGTGGAGATGCTTTAGCAGTACAAGAATGAAAAGAAGGTAATCATTCATAACTCTGACCATCTGCGTATTAAGTAAAGCCCGATTTTATACTGGTGTCACTTGACACGAAAACTTTCCAGACCCCACTTCCCAGCCACCCCAATTACGCCTAGCGGGCCAGGTTTGGGCAGAGAAGAGATGCGCCTGCGCAGTAGCGCTGCGCCACCCGCGCACCCAAGGGCCCCGCCCAGCCCGCAAGTGGGCGGGGATAAGTCGGCCGGGCCCCGGAAGCTGCTGCCGCCTGCCCTACTGACGTGTCGGGGCAGCGAGACGCGTCGCGAAAAGTCGCGGTGGAACTTACCTGCGGTGTACAGATCTGGCGCTTTACGCTGCCAGGCACTGCTGAGCTGGGAGATGTCAGCTGCAGTCCGGACGGAGCCCTTGGGTCCTCCCAGCAGCTTTGCGAAGCGGCTCCTGGTGACCGGGGGTGCTGGTTTCATGTAGGTAACGGCGCCGCTGGCCGAGTAGTGGCTCCCCAGAAACCCCAACCTTTTCCTGAGCCTCTGCTTGCTCTTGGCAACTTGGAACCAGCTTGGGGGGGGGTTCTGATACGGGGCGGGGGGGGGCTCTTAACGCACGAACAGGATCAGCCTACCTTCTTCCCCCTCTCCCGGTCTGCGAAGACTTGGTTCCTTTGAAACTGCGACTTCTTTAAGATGCCTCCCAATCAAAACCAAGGTGCTGTGGTTCCATCTGCCCTCTCACCTGGCCCGGGATGCACCTGACACAATTCTGAGTGCCCCGACATTGCAGTAAGCTTCTCACCAACTGCCCCAGCCTCCATCCCGCCCCCTCCGTACACAGGCAGGCCTTGTACGTATAAGCGCCAAGAAACGAGTTTTGAATTATAGTAGGACATTCATTTATGCAGAGGGCTTAAAAACAACAACAACAAAAAACTCTCTTTTGGTGCTTTGACCTGGATGAGATATGGGATGCCTCTTTCTCTCTCACACCCACATGCAATCAGTGAGCCCTCTTTCACTGCTTCCGAAGCGAACACTTCTCTCCCCTCCCCCTCCTCTTCTAGTCCTCATTACTGTCTTCTGTCTAGATTACTACTGTAGCTTCCTGATTGGTCATACTGCTTCCCCTCTTGTTCCCTTAAAGTCTGTTCTGCACAAAGAAGTCAGTGTTTGTTAAGTAAGTGCATAAGAGTTTTACCCCAGTGGTTCCTGTCAAACTTAGAATACAATCCAAACTCTTTAGCATATCTAGAAGACTCAGGTGTCCGGGCCCTACTTTTCCAACCTGATCTGCCATTCTGCCTCTTTGCTTTTCTGTACCTGCCACACTTAACCTTTTTGGAGTTCCTGGAACACACGAGGCCCATTCCTCCTGTCTTGAGGCCTTTGCACTTGCTTCCCCTTTGGTTAGAGTGCTTGCATCTCTCAGTTCGGATGGTTACTTAGATATCACGTCCTGGGACAGGCATTACCTGGCCATCCCATCTAAAATAGCCCCTTTCCCAACTAACACACTAATCACTACCTGAAGTCTGAAGTTATTTTGTGTATTAGTGTTTACTTGCTTATTGTCTGCATCCCCGCTGTAGAATGTCAACCGGATGAGGGCAGAGACTACTGTTCACTCAGCATCTATAAAAATGCCTGGCTTATTTTACAAAGGTCTTCAGTAGTTATTGAATGGACAAATGCGCAGGTACCAACAGGAAACTCCCAATGTCTAGTGGAAGAGGAGCATGGGAATCACCTCCCCCATTAGCACCTTAAATCACCTCTTCAAATCTGACAATAACTTGGAGGAGGGTATCAGACAGGCAGGGTTTATCTAATGAGAAGAGGGGCATGGGCATAAAAGGGTGGTCCTTGTGTGAGAATGCTGGTCCCGGAAGGGCAAGTTCTAGAAAATGATGTGAAAGGGCCGTCAAATACAAACTCTGAGTTCATAATTTGGTCAAGGGCTGTCCTTGTTCCTGGGAGCCCAATGTTTTTGTGTCTATGAGAAAATCTGGTGGATCATCTCACTGACAGATGTCTCTGGTTCCACTTCAGGTCCTCGGAAAGCCAGGAGCCACTATGGCTTTCTAACTCAGGATGGCCTCAGCCATTATTAGCCTTGGAAACCTAGGTTTAATCTAGAACCTCCCAGAGGATTCTGGTTTACACGACCAAATTCTTGTACCAAGAGATAGCAATTGCAGTAGGGTTACTGTGAACATAGACAACTCCTATGCTCATACTAACTTAAGTTTTACATAGTTATACCTACAGTGTCTTAAAAGGTATGTTACAGTTTCAGTCTATCTGTACTGACCACCACCCATTGTATTTATCCTGCTTTGCTCCCACACTCAAAGCACATGGACAAAATCATTTGGTTAAACTATTTTTTTTCCTTATACCTAGGACCAGTAAATTCTCTTTTCTACACAGTGCAAAGGGATATCGATATATCAGTACCGATTATTGATACTGTGAGAAAGTTAGTGAAAAGTGGGGGTGGGGAAGGAGTGTATTCAGTGTAGTTATGTTATTTCTGTTATTTTGCAGAAACTTAAAGGTATCTTTGAATGTTTCCTAATACTCAACAGGTTAAGGTAACATTTAAGAAATGTGAAGAATTTAGGGAAAAGGTTAAGTTTTCTACTAACACAATATACTTTTTTCTTAAAGCGCATCACATGTGATTGTCTCTTTAGTAGAAGATTATCCAAACTATATGATCATAAATCTAGACAAGGTGAGTTTTATAAAAATGAGCTTCATGCACTGACATTTATGTACATTTTTTTAAAGTATTAGAATCTTATCACGCTGATATTTTAATTTTTTATTTAGTCATTTTAACAACTTAGGGGCCTACATAGTCATGTGATCATGCTGTATTTAATCTTAGTCTTTTAAAAGTTTTTCATTATGATAGCCCATAAAGTAAAGGTTGTAAGTGCAGTATTTTTACCAAAAGAAAATCTTCAACCTAAATATTTAGTGTAATCTTGTGATTATTAACCTTTTTCCAGAGTTGGGATACTCTCATTATTTGATTTTATTATTTTATTATAACTTATAATTTATTATTTTATTAGAACTGCCACCTCTGGAAAATTACACATCTACTTCTTAAATTAAAACTAAAAAATTTAGCTTTGAGGATTTTTCTGTAATAATTGAAGTCTCCCTGGAGAGTCTGAAAGCCATGATTGGTAATCACTGGATTTTTTTACTTTAAACACAGATGCGATTAGTTACCTTAGTTTCATAAAATGTAATAGTAAAAATCTATAGACAGAATAATCTGTAGGTCTTATCAATTTTTGCCTGCCTTACTATCAGGGGTAGTAATTTTTTTCCCCCTTTGTATGGGGATTTACCAGCAATTAACTCGGGAAACAGTGTAATGAGTTATAATATGTATACACAGGTGTAATTGTTTTCAAGTACTAATTCCTTTGCAGTAAGAAATGGTAAGCTTTTCTGGTGGCTGGGGGCAAATATGGGCAGAAAAATTTTTTAAAGGAGGGGTTTCTAAAAAGTAATTTTTTTTTATTTTGAAAAGGTAACAAAATTGCATGGTTTTTGTTTTTTACTTTTTAAGATATCAGAGACTTCTTCTAAAAACACAAAGAACAAACACTTTAAGAAGACATGTTTTTATATTATGATCAGAACATCTACAGTCTTTAAAATATTTTATAGGAAAAACTATTATCACTTTTTGTGTTGTTTTCTCCCCCTCCCTCACTTAATTGTTTTAAGCTGGATTACTGTGCAAGCTTGAAGAATCTTGAAACCATTTCTAATAAACAAAACTACAAATTTATACAGGTATGAAACTTTTCTTATAATTATGTAATTATTATGGTGTGTCTCTAGCCATTCAGACATTTTATCTTTCTACTTCGCAAGCTTGTGTAATGTGGGCTTGGAAAGCATGCTTATTAAAGACCTTTTAATTTCCAGAAGTACCACGTGCTATAGAGAATACTGATTTTATTTATTTTTTATTTTTTTTAAAGATTTTATTTATTTATTTGAGAGAGAGAGAATGAGAGAGAGAGCACATGAGAGGGGGGAGGGTCAGAGGGAGGAGCAGACTCCCTGCAGAGCAGGGAGCCCGATGCGGGACTTGATCCTGGGACTCCAGGATCATGACCTGAGCCGAAGGCAGTCGCTTAACCAACTGAGCCACCCAGGCACCCGAGAATACTGATTTTAGATTAATACCACTATAAAGCTGCATGTGATATTTGGTGCCTTGGCAGATCTATGGGGAGGTGATTGAACTTTCGTGGTTTATGATTTTTAGGTCCTCACTAGCCTTAATGAGGCCTTGCTGGGATTTAAAGAGATTGGTATAAAGGGGACTGTTAATCAGGCCAGGCAACAGCCAAAAAGCCCAACATACAGCCCATGGGATGATCTTCTTCTATGAGGGTGGATTGATTGGCTCTGGAAGGCTGAGTCTTACTAGGCACTCTTAGAAGAGTCCAAAGTATAAACCAGAGAGCCAGGTCATTAAGTTGCAAAGGGAAATTTTAATGTCAGATGAAACTATTTAACTCATGATTTATGTTTTTCTTTAAAAAAGATAATCTATAAACTCTCTTTTTCACCACAAATTATAAAGAATATACTGAGCAAACATTTTATAATTCTACTCTTCTATATGAAAGTGTTTCTTTCAGTCACCAAAGAATACATATTTTTAGAAGAATTAAATGTACATATAAAATCAAAAGTACTCATAAGTTCACTTAGTTGTGGTGAAACACATTTTTAAAAATGTCATTGTAATTGTTACACTTACTTTAAATATATTGCAATAATGGTTACCTCAAACTTTAAAAATATGTTTTAAAGGTTTCCTGTTAACATGAGCTTGGCAAGAATGTTATGGGAAAAAGCTAGCATGGTTCTTAGTCGTAGTTGGTGTTTGATAAAATACTGTTTTAGACACATTTGCAAAAAAGTATCTTGAATTGAATATCTTATATCCTAGGATGCTGGAGAAATACATCATTACTATACTTACTTGACTCCTTGGTTGGATTTTCAAGATATTCTCTATTAAAGCAGGGTGGTGGTGGTGGGGGATTAATTTTTTTCTTATCAATGTTTGGGTTCATGTAGTAAAATAGTTATTACCAATGGGAGTGCTGAATGAAATTTTGCTTTTTCCTGTTTGCTTTTCATATAGGGTGACATATGTAATTCTCACTTCGTGAAACTGCTTTTTGAAACAGAAAAAATAGATATAGTACTACATTTTGCTGCACAAACACATGTAGGTAAGCCTTGTTTTATGTTATAGTTACGAAGGGCATTTTTTTTCCCCAGTGACTAATTAGCCTAAATCAAAGTCCAGTATTGAAGTCAAACAAGTAGGGGCTTAATATGTCTTTGAAAGAGCACATGCCATGCCCTACCAGGAAAACTGGGTGCTTTTCCAGGCACTTTTATTCATGTAGGTTGAAATATAACCTTGAATGCTATCTTAAAACTTTGAGTTTAACTAAATTCAATATAGTGATTACTTCTGGGGAGATGGGCCTTCAACTGTGTTTTTAATTTTTTTTTTTTTTTAAGCTGGGTCTTGTGTATACACGGTTGAACATTATATTATTATCCATACTGTTTTGTGCATCTGAGATATCTTCTAATTGTCTACCATTTTATATTGTGCAATATACCATACTTTCAGAAGAATTTAGAAGTAAAGCTAAATGAGTAATGATGATATGAATACCCATATAGCCATCACCTGAACAAAAGATAGAATGTTGCTGAATCCTCATTGGTAGTTAGTATATTATTGCCTTATTACCTGATTTTAAAATTATAATTTCCCTTGGTCTTCTCCACAGTATATTTAGGAGAGTATAACAGAATATTGAGATATTCCTCATTCCTTTTTATTTTCATATACTCCATTGCGTAGATGTACTACATTTGTGTTTGTTTCCTACATTTGGCTATTTAAATAGTAAGTACTGCAGTGGATGGCTTCGTGCCTGTGTCCTTTGTATATTTGTCAATTGATGTTGGGTAGGGGTTCCTAGAAGGAGGAATTCAGGGTAGAGTAGTTTGCTAGGGCCGCCATAACAAAATACCACAGATTGAGGGCTTAAACAACAGAAAGTTAGTTCTTACCTTTCTGGAGGCTGGAAGTCCAAGCGCTGGCAGGGCCGGCTTCTCCTCAATCTTCTCTCCTTGGCTTGCAGATGGCCACTTTCTCACTGTGTCCTCACATAGTTTCCCCCTGCGCATCCCTAGTGTTTCTTTTTGGGTCAAAATTTCTTCTTTGAAGCATACCAGTCATGTTGGACTAGGGACCCGAATGACCTTATTTTTATTCAGTCACCTCTTTAAAGGCCCTATCTCCAAATACAGGCACATCCTGAGGTACTTGGGGTTAGGGCTCTATCATGAATTTGGGGGAACACAGTTCAGCCCGATAACCAGGCTTAAGGGATAAAAGCATATGTAATTTACCTAGATATTGAGAAATTTCCTTCCCTAGGGGTTGAAGCGCATTGTATTCTTACTCCTAATGTATAAAGTATCTGCCCCCATAGCCTCACCAACAGAAGGTATTGTCAAATTTTAAAATTTTTTGCCAGTCTGATAGTTAAGGAGTGGTATGTATGAGTTTTCATTTTGGATTTTCCTTACTGTAATTGAGGCTGAGCATCTTAAGCTTAAGGACCTTTGTATTTCTTGTCTAAACTAGTTGTTTATGTCTCCTATCCAAAAGGGTTGTTCCTTTTTATTTTTTATAACTTCTTTATAGATTGAATATATTAGCCCTTTGTTTCTGATAAGTTCAAATATTTGTCCCAGTTTGTCATTTGTCTTTTTACTTTGTTTATAGATTTTCTGGTTGTTTGTTTTTTCTATGCAAGAGCTTTTACATAGTCAAACTGATCAGTTTTTTTTTTTTCCTTTTGTTTCTGGATTGTGAGCCATTTTTAGTAAAGTTCCCCTCATTCCCAGATTATAGAGAACCTATTCTTCAAAGTAAATTTATTTTAAAAATAATTTATCCAGCATTTATTGTGTTTTCAGCAATAACAGATTGATCTGAAAAGCCTTGCCGTCTATTAGGAGAAACTAGAAGTTTCAAGTTTTAAATTTAAGAATGTTTTAAATTTAGATGTATCATTTTTTTCTTTTTAGAATAAGAAAAAAGTGTTTCCTGCAAATTTAGCACTGATAGTTTTCTAGGTTGTAAGAATTTTCATGTACTTCATAATTTAGGCTTAAAGCAATCATAAGTAGCAATGTATTTTTGTTATTTTTTTAAACTATTGCAGTTGTGCTGAATGAAGAGAAGTGAATAGAGCTTTCCTTAAACCCAAGTCTACTGTTGGGTATTTGTTTTTTCCTTTGGATGGAATTGTTCAAGCTTTTTCTCTTTTTTTAGATCTTTCATTTGTACGCGCCTTTGAGTTTACGTATGTTAATGTCTATGGCACTCATGTTTTGGTAAGTGCTGCTCATGAAGCCAGAGTGGAGAAGTTTATTTACGTGAGCACAGATGAAGTATACGGAGGCAGTCTTGATAAGGTAAGCTCAGAAATGGTATGTTTCACCTACTTACCATGGACCACAGTGCAAATCTGTCTTATTAAAACCTTTTGTGGGCTTTTTTCATCCCCTCATTATACACACTGAGGGACTCCAAAATGTTCATATTGTGACGCAGGCCTTCAGGGTTCTGCATGTTCTGGCCTCCCTCTAGCTTTCCAGCTTCATCTCCTGTTTCTCTTCTCTAACACCAACCTCCTTTGGACACAGTTCTGTCCCAGGACCTTTGCACTTGCTGTTCTCTCTGCCTGCCTTATAGAGTTGTTGTGAATGCTGCTCTATAAAAAATGCTTAGAAAAATGCCAGGGACATAGTTGGGGTTCAGTAAATGTCTTCTAATGTGCAGTAATTAACATTTCAGGTTTCTAATATGTTTTCTGATTTTTCTGCTTAGAAACTGTGCATAATAGGTGTATTTTTTAATGCATCTTTTTAAAATTAGGAATTTGATGAATCTTCACCCAAACAACCTACAAATCCTTATGCATCATCTAAAGCAGCTGCTGAGTGTTTTGTACAGTCATACTGGGAACGATATAAAGTAAGAACTGATTTCAGAACTCCTTTTGAATCATTTTTCTTTTGACTTAGGTGATACAACTCCAAGTTAGCATTAGCGACATTCCATTTTTAGAGTTGAAGACATAGATTGAGGAGTTTATATATTAAGGAGTTTAAAATACTTATTTCCTATATTGTGTGGACAAAGTAGGACCTACTTCTTGTTCAGTTCACCACTTAAAGGAATAATTTATGTATATGTTTTCTACTTCAGTGGTACGTAGAGTATTACAGGTGTAGGGAAAAGCCCTCTTGGAATATCCTGATTCCCAGAATCCTGTGGAAGACAGTGGGGGCCAGATTCTGTGACCTGCCACATGCTCGTCTCTGCATGGTTCACCTCTCTTGGCTCCTCGTGAATGGGAGTTGACATTTTCTTGCCTTTTGTTTTCCATAGCACCGGCCCTTTTCCCTTTCGTAGAAGCTCTTTTTATTTGTAAGTGTTGGTGCATCAGGGAAAGACAACGTGAAGTTTCACATCTAACCAAACCTAAGGTCCAAGACGCAGTCTCTGAAATCATCGGGTAGACATTCCCTTAATTTCCTGCTATCAAACCTAACTAACCTGCCCCCATCTATATTCATCCTGCTCTTGTCCCAGGAAAGAAAATATTCCTTTTCCTTTTACGAGCCTCTGCCTTTCTCTGAATCCTATCTTCTCCCATATTTTCAGGAACCTTACATCAGAAAAAAATCCCTTCGCTTCTGTCCTTAAGGTGCGTGGAGTTACTTAGCTGCAGGTGTCCATCTTTTAGGACTGCCTATCTTCAGAAAATCATTACAATTGGACCTCTTATTGCATTAACATTGACTACTTTTTTAAGTTTCCAGCCGTCATCACGCGAAGCAGTAATGTTTACGGACCACATCAGTATCCAGAAAAGGTACATTTTGTGAATCCATGGTGTGTTTTTAGTGATTATAGCTCCTCATTATTTAAGATAATCTCTCTTCAGTTATTTGTCTGGAATAATTTCTGCTGTAATTGTACATAATTATAATCACTGTATAGGCCACACATGCAAATCTCATCAGGTTTAGAGTCTGAAGACCTGAGTTCAAGTCTCAACCTGACACCAGATGGCGTGACCTGAGGCCCTTGGAGCATCATCTTTGAATTGGGGGATAATGAAAACACTCAGAAGGGATCTTTGAAGGGTCCAGTGAGATGATAATGCGGAAATGCCTGGTGCTCTTCACGGTTCTGAAGCACTATAGAGCATTCTGTCAAGTTGCTGAAGACTCCTTCCTGGTTTGCAATCTAGAAATTTGAGAGCTAGTTAGAGAGTCCTGCGGGAAGCTTGTACAGAAATTTGTCTTCCCGTCTGCTGACTCACTGTTCCCCAGCTCCTCTTTACTGTTGCTGGCCTGAATGTCTTCCAGAAAGTAGTACAAGTAGTGAATAAAGAAATGTAGTTAAAAGGCTGAACCAACTGTGCAGTTGGTTCTGTTATCATTAAGCCTAATTGAAGTAACCATTACCTTCTGTGCCTAAAAATTTGGAGATAGGGTTTTTCACTTTCCAGCTCATTGCATTTATCTATTCGGCCAAAGAAAGGGGCCATGTCATGATCTCTTGGTCTTAATATCTACTTTGCTTAATTTGGGAAGTATCTTTCAGAGGTGCGTTGTAAGTTTAATAATATATCTCACCCTGTTTAACATGACTTTTCTTTGAGGTCAATGGCACTGGAATTTACTTCTTATTAATTTCACAAGCACTGATTGAATAGGTGCTGTATGCAAAGCAATAAATAAGATATGATTCCTGCCCTTATGAAATCAAAGGTGAGCGTTTGTGATGAGATCAAACTGTTCATGAAGACTTTTTCTGAATTTTTACACTATTTGTATCATTTTGTCTTTATGTTTGTCCAGCAGATATCTTGTTTTTGTGAAATAGGAAGCTATTTTAGAGTTCTCTCACTTATCAAAATTACAATAGCTTTTTTCTTGAACTGATAAGAATTAGAATTTACCTCTATGTATATTTCTTAATAATCATAATCTATTAATCTTAAGATGAGTTAGATTCATATTAATGAGTGAATTTCCAATGTCTGAAATGATATTTAAATATTCTTTTAGGTTATTCCAAAATTTATATCTTTACTACAACACAACAGGAAATGGTATGTTATTATTTACCTTTGTACCCATATGTTTTTCTGGTATGTGGATAGTATTCAGTGACAGCCTTTCTTGAAAATCATAGTCTTAAGAGTTGAAGGCCAGAGAATGGAATGTTTCCAACAAATTTATGAATTCCTTCTACAATCAATGTGATGGTTCTTTAAATAATTACAATCTGTTACTCATCTTTATAATTTACTTAGATAACTTGAATTTTTTTTATAATTTCAATTCTTAAATAATGTATCCTAGAACTTTGAATTATCGCATTAAGATCTGACATCAGTCTTTATATAATTTTACTTTTCCAAAGGATTTATCTAATTCACAGAGCTATACATATTTCTTCAAGATGAATTTAAGGTAGAAAATTGATGAATAACTTATTTCTCAGGGGTCATTTATATGTTTGCAACTTACCCCCTGGTGCTGTAGGAGGTTCGGTGGTCATTTAAAAATTACGGATAAAATTTAGAAAAGTCATGAGAATTTGTGTTTTCAGTAAGAGATTTCTAGGCTCCCCATGGGAATTGGCTTCTCTGGAGTTGTGTTACCCTGGTTGGGGAGAGCTTACTTTTTATACTTTATGATCCCTTTCATTTAATCTTTTTAGCTGCATTCATGGATCAGGGCTTCAAACAAGAAATTTCCTTTATGCGACTGATGTAGTAGAAGCATTTCTCACTGTCCTCAAGAAGGGGAAGCCAGGTGAAATTTACAACATCGGAACCAATTTTGAAATGTCAGTTCTCCAGCTTGCCAAAGAACTAATACAACTGGTATGTATATATTGCAAAAGGGTAGTGTTTTCAGAATTGTCATTAAATTAGTGGCACTAATCATTTAGTCAAAATCAGCAATTTACAATTTACTCAGTTGGAAAGTGAATGAGTAAAAAAATGAAAAGTACATGGAGATATGTCATTACTGGACGTTCTATCACTCATTTATAACAGCTTTTCAGGAAAATAACAATCCTAACACATTCAGTGTAGATATTCATTATAACAAATACTTCAATGTCAGAATACAAAACTGTGTGTGCTAATCTTAAGGATCGATGACCTGTAAGTAATTATAGTTGGGAGTGTATGTATGTATGAGTGAACATCAATTCTCAGTCTCAGGATTCAGTAGAAAGGGAGACTTGGTGTACTGAAATACTCTTCCTTTACACTGCTCTCAGAATACTTTGTACTCCAAACATGTGGGTTTTCCATACCAAGAAATTCTCAGAGACAAGCTGGATGACCTCTTATTTAACTCAATTCTGACATTATCTGCCTGGAGACGGCTTCAGATCCCATAGGCTAAGGGCTTAGTCCTCCCAAGGACGATCCCCTGCTTCATGCGCCAACCACAAAACCTGGTTGTCCCCTGTGCTTCTGACCACTGGTGATAGGGCAGAGGTGTTTAGCCAGAGTGACTCACAGAAGTCACACACACAACGACTCACTGGCTCATTGCAAAGGATAGAAGTCAGGAACAGCCAGAGGGAGGAGATGCCTGGGGCGAGGTATGAGAGAGGAGCGTGGATTGATCATGCACTCTGGGCTTGCCACCTTCCCAGTACCTGCATGTTTTCAGCAGCTCAGATGTTCTCCAAACCCCCTTGTTTTGTTTTTTTATGGAGACTTCATTAAGTAGTCATGATTGGTTAAATCATTGACCACTGGCTATGAATTCAACCTCCAGCCCTCAGAGCACAGGGTTGGTTCCCTTGGCAACCAGCCCCCATCCTTAGGGGCTTTCCAAAATTCACTCATTAACATAAACTCTGGTGTGCTTAAAAGGGGCTTGTTATGAATAGCAAAAGACACTTTTATCTCTCATCACTTAGGAAATTCCAAGGGTTTAGGAACTTGGATAAAGACCAAATACATCCTTCATATCATAAATTACAGTATCATACTGACTAATAACCAAGAGTCAAAAAATTAATTTTCTCCCCTAGTTTATGCAGCGTGTATTCTGTGTGAGCTTCAGATGGAATGTGGGTTATAAAGCATGGAAAGTGTTACTAAAATGCTCTTCATTTTAGCTGTCTCCTCCACTTTGAAGGGGTTATTTTTCTTTTGTAAAGATTTATTTATTTATTTGAGAGAGAGAGAGATAGAGTGTGCGCATGGGCAGGGGAGGGGAGAGGAGAGGGAGAGAGAATCTTCAAGCTGACTCCGTGGGGCTCGATCTCACGACCCTGAGATCATGACTTGAGCCAAAATCAAGAGTTAGGTGTTAACAGAGGGCATCACTGAGGCACCCCAAGGGGTTGTTTTTCTTGTCTTTTTAATCAGCTATTGAATACCTTTGTTATTCTCTGGTCTTGTTTTGTAATTTTGACTCAAAAGCCTTCTCCATTTTGACAGATCAAAGAGACCAGTTCAGAGTCCGAAATGGAAAACTGGGTGGATTATGTTAATGATAGGTGAGTTACAAGTTAAAACATTGGGGAAAGGTTGTGAAATCTTAGATACTTATACAATTCTAAAATATATGGACTTAACCAGAAACTACTATTATTGCTCTTGAATTTTCAGCTAAAATACTTTTTCCTAATTATGTGTCAAAAGAATAAAGTGTAACATTATTGCCTACTAGCTGTGTGACTAAAGAAAGTTACTGACCTTTTCCAAGTCTGACGTCTCCTCGAATGTGAAATAGGGATAATAATGTCTTGTTAACAGAAGTATTTTAAGGTCTTATTTATAATGTATATAAAGTACCCAGGGTGTAGAACATAAGAGCCCTAATACATTTATGTGGATTTATTTATTCATTCATCAAACATTTAGGTATGAGGCACTGCATTCATACCCAGATCATGGCTGAAAGCAGAAAAGGGTGAGCCACGGAGAGGGTTAGGCCTCTGGGATTACAGATGCTTTTTTTTTTTAATATGTACTTTATTTTACAAATTTTCTATAAGTGTGTCATCAGGGAGAATTTTTTAAGAAAAAATTTGAATTATGGTAAAGATTCATGGACACACATTAGTTCTCTTAGTATTAAATTTGTAAATATATATCCACAATGTCATTTTAAATCTGTTTTGTTTTCCAAGACCTACCAATGACATGAGATATCCAATGAAGTCAGAAAAAATACATGGCTTAGGATGGAGACCCAAAGTGCCTTGGAAAGAAGGAATAAAGAAAACAAGTATGTTATGCATTGATCCTTTTGGTGCGGGGGGAGAGGAGATTCAGAAAAATTTAAAGGGAACATAATTTACTTTTAGAACACTATAAATTCAGTAGAATGTCGTGATGCATCATTTTCACTTTTCAAGTTATTACATCTCATATATTTCCAGCAATAGTAACATATCTCCTAAGCATCTTGAATTTCACACCCAGACTTCTGCTTAGGCTTCCTGTGTCTTATCAGCATTTGTCAGAAACCTAGTTCATTGATACTTAGGTGCAAATTTTTCACTTTTTTCACATCCTTTAAAGGTGTGAGTTTTAATGTCACAAGTGTCTTATTATTATTCCATCTTTCTTTCTTGGTAATATGTAAAATAATGGTCCATTTTGAGGTCAGTGGCATCTTAGATTTGATGAGATATCGACAGTTGCAATCTTTGAGTGTCTTAAGTCTTTATATTGAAACAAACAAAATTTAGTATGTGCAGAAATAGCCATTAAAATGAGCATATATAAAATCTGTATATATGTTAAAGTTTTGTTTAAAAATGTATTTATGAGAAAAGATAAACTCACATGTAGAAAAGAAGTGTTCATTTAGAGCTTGACACAGAGTAGATGTGTTGAATTTTTAAAAGCCAATTCAAAGATAATTTATCATTTTTAAACTAAAAAAACACTTTACTGGTAGTATAGCCACATAAACTAATTTTACATATTACCAGAAGGAAGATCACACCATCTCATTATGCCTGTAATGTAGTATTGCTGCATTTACATGAGCAAAACATTGCATTTTTTTCTGTAACTTTAAAACCAGTGCAAATGACTTATCTCTGTCCCTGAATTTCTTAGAATGTCTTAAACACTTACACCAGCAAATTCAGCACTGAAGGACTTTTGAAGTTAAAAAGAAAACAATAATTGATTTTTAAATCTAAGTTTTCGGGTATTAAAACATCTTGTGATCAATGACATTGGTTAGTTCAGAATCAAATTGTTTTCTTCGTGAGGCATCCCTTTGGCAAGACTGATTCTTACTTAAATTAAGAATCTAAGTAAAATTAGCTGAGTAGCTGATGGGCAGGATTTTTCTTACTTAGCAAGAACCCAGTAAATATTGGTTAACTGGTGTTTAGTGTTTTTTTTTTTATTTTCGTCTTTTGTTTTTTTCCTACCAGTTGACTGGTACAGAGAGAATTTTCACAATTGGAAGAATGCAGAAAAAGCATTAGAACCCTTTCCAGTACAACCACCATTTGTATAGAAAGGACAGTTTTCAGAGAAATTATCCTACCTCAACAAGCGATATGAAATCAAGTGACCAGATGAAGTGTCCTCTTCAGATGGAATTAGATTTGTGACTTTTGCATAAAATTCAAATGCAAAAATGCCTCAATATTTAGAATTGTTTTAGTATTGTCATATGAGTTAAATATCAAGATTCTTTCAGAAACCTTCTCTCCTGAAAGTCTGGAACCAGTAGGCCTAGAAAGACCTGTCTGTAGAAGGGGGGCCACGAAGGAGGAATCTCGTGGTTCTGAGAACCAGGATGGGAAACAGCTCTGCATGGATGACAGCCTTGGCTGGCACTGAACTCAGCTTCCCAGCCTCTCCCACTGCCCAGAAAGTCTCAAGTTTTCATTTTTAGGCAATATAGGATGAGCCATATGCCCGCATTCATCTTTTTTTAAAGATCTGATGTGCTATAATTGTTTTAAAATGGGAACAATGGACGAGTATTTAGCACTTTTTAACTTTTGATAATTTTGTAATATTAAGTTAAATGTTTTTTAAAAGAAGGATGTAGTTTTTATATTTTCGAAATCAGTTGTTGAACTATATATAAGTAACAGCGTATGAGAGAAGTTTTATCATGTATTTACCATTTAAAATGATTTTATTTATAAAAGTATCAATATTTTAATGTATTTAATGTAGAATGTGGCTTTATTTTTAGTAAGGTATGTTTTTATTTTGCTGTAGAAAAAATTTTATATTACTTGATTAAATATTTTTAATTCCTCTGTCTCCTAACGACTTTAAGATGACTTGAAAAAGCAACTGACTGGATATTGCATTGAGAAAGGGAAAGGAGTCCAAGACTGCCCAGCTTTCTGGCTTCAGGGCATGAATGATGGCTTGTTTCCTCTGTGGAGTGGGTAGCAAGGTCATTAACTCGGAAGTGGTTAAAGGAGGGGGATAAGAGTGGAGTAAGGGCCTTGAGGAGGTGGAGATCAAGAAAAGAATAAGCAGATCCAAAGTTAATAAGAGGATTTGCGAAACAGGAGTGAAACACAAACTGAAGTTGAACATTATAGTTCCAGAATTCTGAGATGTGTAAAAGTAGATTGATCCAGAGGTGGGCATAGTCGGAGTCAGGAGGGACGGAGGGAGCAGAGGGCTGAGAGTGAGAATGACTGAAGTGATGCCCACTGGTCCTAGTTGTGTAGGAAAGAAAGCGCTTCTTGGGGGTGGCTGGTAGCTAGAAGAAATGGAGTGGGGAATGGGCACAAGGGCGTGGAGGTGAGAGCTTGGAGAGGCAAGGAAGTTATAGGTAGAAAATGGGACCAACTGAAAGCAAATGGTCTTTGGTGAACTTCGGTCATTGAGGGTAGATGACAAAATAAAAACACTCTCTGTGTCTTTTTTGGCACATATTTTTGTGTACACTTTTATTTCAGACTTCAATATACTCAATATAGCTTAACCTTTATCTAGTCTCAGGAGATGACCTTGGCAAGCATTAGGAACACAATGATAAACCAGTTAAAAAAAACCTTTATGCAAAAAGTGTAAAAAAAATGAATGTTCTACATCATATGTCATCAGAGAAGTACAGATTAAAACAAAGATTAGATACCTATTAGAATGGCCGAAATCTGGAACACTGACAACACCAAATGCTGATAAGGATGTGGAGCAACAGGAACTCTCGTACATTGCTGGTGGGAATGCAAAATGGTACAACCACTTTGGAATACAGTTTGGCAGTTTTCTTACAAAACTAAATGTACCCTTACCATGTGATCCAGCAATCGCACCCCTTGGCATTTACCCAAAGGAGTTGAAACTTACGTCCACACAAAAACCTGCAGATGTTTACATTAACTTTATTTGTCGTTGTCCAAACTTGGGAGCAACCCAGATGTCCTTCAGTAGGTAAATGGATAAATAAACTGGTGCATCCAAGTTATATGAACTGTCAAGCCATGAAAGGACCCAGAGGAAGCTTACCTGCCTATTATTAAGTGAAAGAAGCCAATCTGAAGGGAATGTGCAGAAACATGCTCAAATTTAACACCTGTAATGATAAAAGAAGAAGCAGGATTGGGCAGGATGATGGTGCTGCCTAAGGGTTTGCAGGCAGGAAGGGCAAATCCATACAGAAAAAGTATCGTGAGAATAGACCACTGGCCCTTTCAGGCTGGAAAGTGCCTGATGGAGTTAACTTACCACCAAGTAACTGGTTGGTTTCTTCAAGGAATAGTGTCCTATTGGGAGCTCAGCCTTTGTTGCCAGCAGGTTGGGTGTGTGGCAGTGGCAGCAGCTAGATTGGCCTTGGTAAGTGAGAGTCCGTGCTGGGGGCCCAAGAGTAGGTTCCATCTCTACATCTATGGTGAGTCCATTCCTATGCCCACTGTGGCAGTTCTGGGGTAGTTGATGGTGAAGGCTAGCCAAAGTCAATTAACCTACTCATTTTGTCTACCTGATAGTTAAGTGCCTCTTGCACGGTGGTTGCTTTCTAGTGGGCATCAACGTGTGACACCTGGATCTTCACACTCCCCAGCCAACCCCATGTGGCCATTCACACACCTCCAAGCCTGCCTTCTTATCTCTGCATCTCTAGTCTTTTTCCTTCCAAGTTTCCGAAGTGGCTAACCAGGCCATTCACTGCTGCCTATGCATTCATACATTTCTCACCTCAGGTCACTTCTATACAAAGTGCAGGAGCAAGTACACTGCTCAAAGCTCTGCTGTTTGACAGATTTCTCCTTTGCGCATTCTTTTAATGTCACCCCTGTGTGGTTTTTTGTTTTTTGGTTTTTTAAAGATTTTATTTATTTATTTGAGAGAGAGAATGAGATAGAGCATGAGAGGGGGGAGGGTCAGAGGGAGAAGCAGACTTCCTGCTGAGCAGGGAGCCCAATGCGGGACTCGATCCCAGGACTCCAGGATCATGACCTGAGCCGAAGGCAGTCGTTTAACCAACTGAGCCACCCAGGCGCCCCACCCCTGTGTGGTTTTAATGCAGCCCCCATCTATTTGTGGCTTGTACATTACAAGCCAACTGGTCTAGAACGTTGGGTTTTTTCCTCCCCTTTCAGTGGGTTGTCCGGGCCCTTTCACGAGGCCCCAGGTATAAGCTGAGAGGTAGAACCAAGCTGGTGACATCAGAGTCTAGCCTACCTGCTCCTGCAGCTTACTGGTGCCCTCTGATTGCACGCAGGCTCAATCCCAATGGGCCATTTTCATCTTACCATGGACTGCTACTGGGCCCACCTGACTCGATGGCTAGTTGGGTGCCTGAGTTTCTCAGGGCTGCCGTAACAAAATACCACAGACCGGGTGGCTTAAACAACAAATTTATTTTCTCGTACTTCTGGAGGCTGGATGTCGGAGATCAAGTTGTTGGCAGGGATGGTTTCTTCTGGAGCCTCTCTGCTTGGCTTGTGGATAGCCACCTTCACCCTGTCTTCATGTGGTCATCTCTCTGTGCATGCTCATGTCTGTGTCTAAATTCACTCTTCTTATAAGAACAGTGCTCGCCCCAGTGTGATCAGGATTGGATTGGATTGGATTGGATTAGCCCCACCCCCAGACCTCATTTTAATTTAAGTTTCTCTTTAACAACGTTATTTCCAAATACATTCTGAGGTATTAGAAGTTAGGACTCCAACATATGAATTGGGGAGGAGGGAGAACTCAATTCAGTCCATAACAGTGAGTCCAAAAGAACCCAGCATGTAATGGACAGTTCTGGAAACATGGTCACTTGATGTCAAGCATTCTGTCCAGTAACCTGCCAGGAGCTGTTTTCTAAAATCATAAAATTCTCCACCGTTCCCCCCAGAACCCTAGGTACCTGCACTGTGATTCTCCCACTGGGGCTTCCCATAAAATGTATGCTGCATCTCTGTCTATGACTGACACCTCCACTACCACAGGGCCTGCCAGAGCAGATGGCCCAAGTGGCGGGGGTACTTGCCTCCCAGCTTGGTCCTGCTGCAGGGCCCTCTCCCTGCCCCAGACAGCCTCCGTGTCACTCAGTTTATGGGCTGGAGCATTATCCCTACATGTGGAATGTGTTGCCTCCGGAATCCATAGAGGCCTCCCAGCCACTGCGCTTCCTTCTCTGTGGAAAAGCAATTTGATTTTCATCACTGGACTCCTAAGAATTTACTGAAATGGCAAGTCCTGAATATTCATGGGGTTTATCTTCCACCTTCTAGGCTGCATGTGCATTACCAAAGCCAGCTGTGTGCTAACCCCTCTTGCTAATCCTGCCTGATCAGCATGATGCCATCAGTTTAATAGATCAATGTGACATTCTTTTTTTTTTTTTTTTTAAGATTTTATTTATTTGTTTGACAGAGAGAGACACAGCGAGAGAGGGAACACAAGCAGGGGGAGTGGGAGAGGGAGAAGCAGGCTTCCCACGGAGCAGGGAGCCCGATGCGGGGCTCGATCCCAGGACCCCGGGATCATGACCTGAGCCGAAGGCAGATGCCTAATGACTGAGCCCCCCAGGCGCCCCTCAATGTGACATTCTGCATGATGGTCAGAAGACCCAAGTCTCTTCAGAGAGCAGAACCAGTAACATAGCCCTGGGGCAAAACCGTGAATGCACCTGGTTTCTGATGTTCTTTTTTGATTGAGATAGAAAAGAACACATTCACCAGATCCATGGCTGGATACTATGTTCCAGGGAACTTGTAATCTGCTCTAGCAAAAGAGATGCCGCAGGGCACGGCTGCTGCCGTAGGCGCCACTACTTGATGGAGGCGGCAACTGCCTGTGGCCATTCTCCAGCATCCAGCCAGATTGGTGAATTAAATGGTGACTTGATGGGGACCCGGCCCTGCGTCCTTGCGACCCTTTAGGGTGGTGCTCATCTTCATGGGCTCCTCCAAGTTGTGATTTTTTTTTTTTTAAAGATTTTATTTATTTGAGAGAGAGAGAGAGAGAGAGTGCAAGCGGGAGGAGGGAGAGGGACAAGCAGATTGCGAGCTGAGCGCAGAGCCTGATGTGGGGCTCCATCCCATGACCCGAAATCAAGAGTTGGAAGCTCAACCGACTGAGCCACCCACGTGCCCTGCGATTTTGTTTTTGATTTACTATCTCCCCTAAAGGAGGAGTTCAGGCTGTTTGGAAAAACCTGGGCCCCTGGCACTCAGGATAGGAATATCTGGGTGGATACCCATAAAGATTTTGACTCTTCGAAGTTTTTTAACTGTAAAGTTCTGAGTTTGGTCTTAGGTTTTTTTCTTTTCTCCTGTTTTAAGAAATAGGGCCCCCACACTTAACTGCCACTTGTTCGTTAACTGCCCTCAGCTTTTCTTCACCCGCTGTGGGGCATCCATGTGACTCAGGAACAACCAGCAAATTCCATGGTCCTCATATGACTTGCTCCCTGAACTTTTCAAATGCCTGAATTTTTGCAAGTTTTGGCATTGGGGTTGCCACTTTGCTCGTGTGCCCCACGCCCCACTCAGGATGGCATTCTCGTGACCAGCCAGGCCAACAAACCTAACTTACCACCTGCTTTGTTGCACCAACTCTTGGGACCATCTGTGTCAGTTGGATCCTCTGGGGAGTGGTGACTGAGACAGAGGTAGGGGTGCAAGCAGTTGATTGTAGGAGGGGGAATGCTTGTGAAAGATGTGCAAGGGAGGATGCTTATCTGGGCAGGAGGGATCCCCAGGCTGCAGTGCAGGTCAGACAGCTGCAGAAAGGAAGGGGAGGGGAAGCGTGGGCCGGGAGAGCCTAAGCCCACGATGTAGATCTGCCCAAACAAACCCCAGCCAACTCCACAGGGAGCCCCAGAGCAAAGACGGCTTGGCAGAGAAGTCTCAAACTGGGCAAAAATGCCGGATACCCCGTTGTGCTCAGTCGTTGGCTGGCGGCTGCGCTGAAAGAACTGAGGTGGATCCTGACGACTCTGCAGACAGGGGCTGTCCGCTAACTGTGCTCGCCGCAGCTGGATGACAAGCTCCATCTTGAAGGGAAATGCAAGTGGTGAGACCTCCATAGCCCCTGCTGGGCTGTCTGCCATGGGGAAGGGGTCTTGGGGCTTATCAGCTCCCTGCACAGACTTCCAACCAAACCACTTGCTTTTCAGCCAGTGCCTTGCCCTCTCCCCCTCCTTCCCCCCCGCTACCGTGCCCACCTTCCATGGCTCCTGGTACTCTGGGGACCTTTAGTGAGGTCTGCCAGCCCAACCTAGAGGTTCTGAGAAAACTTTCTGCAGATGACATTTGCGTTGTGCTGTGTTTTAAAGGATGAACCACAGTCAGTAGAGGAAACTGAGGAGGATCCCAGGCAGAAGGGCCAGCCCTGTGGAAACACCAAGCCGTGAACGATATTGTGTGTTCCCGGAACAGAGGTCCTCAGCAGTGCTCTCGCACAGATGTTCTCACAATGTGTCTCTAGTCCATGAGCGACATCAAAAACTGTAATGCGATACCACTTAGTACCTTTTAGGATGGCTATTATTTGAAAAAGCAGAAAATAATAAATAAATAATAAACATTATAAATAAATAAAATAATAAATAAAATAAATAATAAACATAAATAAATAAAATAATAAATAAAATAAAAATAAATAAAAAAAACATTGATAAGGATGCGGAGAAACTGGAACCCTGGTGCGTTGCTGGTGGGAATGTAAAATGGTGCAGCGACTGTGGAAGACAGGATGGCAAGTCCTCAAAAAGTTAGACATTGAATTACCAGATGACCCAGCAGTTCCCCTTCTAGGTATGTGCCTGAAAGAGTGGAAAGGAGGGGTTCAAACAGATTCTTGCACACCAACACTCATAGCATTATTCACAGTAGTCAGAAGTGGAAACAACCCAAATGTACATCTTTAGATGAGTGGACAAGTAAGGTGTGGTATACACAAATGATGGAATGGTAGAATTCCACTTATACGAGGTACCTACAAATAGACAAATTCATAGACACAAAGTAAAATAGAGGTTTACAAGGAGCGAGGGGAAGGGGAGATGGGGGTGAAATCATTTAATGCCTCAAAGTTTCTGTTTGGAGGGTGAAAAAGCTCTGAAAGTGCATAATAGTCATGGCTACCCACCATTGAATGCACTTCATGTCGTTGAATTGTATGCTTAAAAGTAGTTAATGATGGTAAATTGTATGTTGTGTATATTTTGCCACAATAATAATTATTTAAAAATGTGTCCCCCAGACCAACAGCATCTCTAGCACTTATTACAAATGCCAGTTCCTGGACCCCACCCCAGACTTACAGAATCTGAAACTCTGGCTGGGGCACCCGCATGTTTGAGCCCCACTGCTCTCCAACGTGAGAGGGGAAGTGAAGCTAGAGGGGAAAATAGGGGCCAGGGCCAGGTCCTCGAAGGCCTTGTGTACCCCAAAAAAGTGCTTGGACCTCTTCCTGCCGACAGAGAGCTCACTTGAGATTTTAAGGAAGAAATTGACATTGTTAGATTTGTGGGACTAAGCTTTTTCCCGATTTCAAAAGTAATGTGTGCTCATTGCAGAAAGCTTGGAAAGCTAAATCAATAAAAAAAGAAAATCACACTTGATCTACCATTGGGAGATAACCCCTGTTAATATTTAGATGTATATTCTTCGTTTCTTGGAGCATATATACACATTAAAAAAACAACAACAATATGGGATCATAATGGAGACATACTGTTTTGGAGTCTGCTTTTTTTTACACTAAGCAATATATCATGAATGTTTTTACATGTTATGAGATCTTTTGCCATTTTTATTGACTGCAGAATTACGTTTTTGATAGCTTATTCTGGCAACAGTATGGAAGATGAATTTGAGATTCTGGCAAGATTGAGCTCCTGCAGGGATCCGAGTTATGAAGTTGTTGCAATAAATCAGGCTGGTGATGATAAGGCGGAAAGCACCGCACTGCGAACAGGTGGTGTCGAGACAGACGGCAGAACTCTTTAGATCAAAAAAAAAAAAAAAAAAAGTGATTGATTATGCAGGGGGGTGCACTTTCTTGGGTGATATTTTAAGGTTTTGGATGTTAAATTGTTAAGAGAATGGTAAATTACATTTGGGGGAGATGTTAAGATGTAGAGATCCGTGGGACGCCCGAGCAGAGATACCTAACTAACTGGCCAACGTGCAGATCTAGAGCTCAAATTGCTGGGCAAGGTTCAAGATCTACAGATACATATTTAGGAGTTAAATGGCTATTAAAGCCCTGAGAGTGGATTAAATCTTCCCAAGGAGGGCACACAGAATGGCCAGGTGGGCAACACTGATTCACAGACAAGCCATGAGAAACACCAAGGTCTAAGTCGTAGGTAGAGGAGCCAAGGAGAACATTTAGAAGGGATTATTTAAAAGAAAAGAAAAGAAAAAAGTCAGAGGAGGGGAAGAGAACAGGGGAAGTAATACCACAGAAAGCAAAGGGTTCAACATTCAATGATAAGCAGCGGTCCGGCTGGAGTTCAGCAAGGCAAAGACTTTTAACAGTGTCTGTTTTGGCAATGTGTCGGCAAATTTTCTAGTCATTTTAGTGTAGTGCTGTGGGGAAGGAGAGCCTCTGGATAATAAAAGTTGAGTAGTGATTAGGGATCAAAGATAGGAGACATGAAATTTAGACCAGTTTTTCAAAGAGCTGAGAAAAGTCAAGAAATGGCTAGCTCTATGGAGGATGCAGGGTCATGGAAGGTGCACTTTAAAAATATATTTGTTCTAGAGGGGAGGGGGTGGGGGGATGGGTTAGCCTGGTGATTGGTATTAAAGGGGGTATGTATTGAATGGAGCACTGGGTGTTATACGCAAACAATAAATCATGGAACACTACATCAAAAACTAGTGATGTAATGTATGGTGATTAACATAATATAATAAAATTAAATTAAAAAAAATATATTTATATATTTGGTCTTTGTCCCAGGCTCTCGGCACAGCTCCTAAAACCTTAGGAATTTCCTGAGTGATAGGAGTGTCTTTGTTATTCATAATGAGCAGCTTCAGATCACAAGGGAGTTCATACTAATGAGGTGACTTGGGGTTGGGGCCCCAAGATAGCCTCAGGACAGGGCTGGTCACCAGAAAGATCAAGTAATTAGGGAATGGGATCTTTCAGCCCCACCCGCCAACCTGGGCAAGGGGCCAACGGCCTGGAGATCAAGCTCTATAAAAAACTCTTGAACCAGGAGATTTGCTGAGCTTCCAGGTTGACGATCTCGGAGTTGCTGGGAGGGGTTGCAGCCGGGGAGGGTGTGGGGAGCTCTGCACTCCTTATCCCACATCTTGCCCTGTCCATCTCTTCCATCTGGCTGTTCCTGGGTTGTATGCTTTATGATAAACTGGTTAATTGTCAGTCAAGTGTTGCCCTGAGTTCTGTGAGCTATGCTAACAAATTATGAGGCCCCACAAAGGTATCATGGGAACCTGCAAATTAGAGCCAACTGGTCAGAAGCAGAGGGAACATACTGGACTTGCCAGGGGTGTCTGAAGTCGGGCAGTCTGCTGAGACTGAGCTCTAGTCGGGAGTGAATCCTGCGGGATCTGATGGCCACTCCAGTTGGATAATGTCAATGGAACTGCATTGTTGGACGCCCAGCTGGTGTCCACAGAGATCTGAAAAACTGCTTGGTGTGGGAAAAACCCACACATTTGGGGGCCAGAAGTCTGAGTGTGGTAATAATAGAGAGTAGAGGAGGCAATCTAGTTTTTCTTCCAGAAGGGTTTTCAGAAGCTGCTCTATTTTGTTTTTAGCACCAAAGGGACTTCTAAACTATTCTAAACTGCAGCCTGGGCAGCAGAGGAGGAGAGATTGATGATCAGGGGTGGGTAATTACTGGGGGCAGTGTCTGAGGACATGGGCACCATGGGGAAGGACTAGCTTGGGGGGGGGGATGGGATCGGTGGTGTCCAGCTCATCCTCCTAGACCAATAAAAGCAGGAGTTGAGAAGAGTTTGGATATAGAGACATGAGGGAAGGAACGTGAGGGACATCACCGTGGCCTCAGTCTCTACTTGAGAGTAATGGGGGAAAGAGCTGAAGAGCGAAGTGGGGGTTTTGAAAAGACTCAGGGGCACGTGAGGGCAGGTTCTCTGCCACTGCCAATGTGAGGGCACAGCCAAGTCAAGGCCATGAATCCCCAGTGGCCCCTGATACAGCTACGGAAGAAGCATCTGCGTTGAACATCCCTGTACACACCTACCCACACAGGTGTGCACGTTCCTGAAGGGCTGATGCTGAGAACAGCTGTTTGGGGTCCGGAGGCACAGGTGCCTCGAGTTGGAAAGGCACGGCTGAAACTACCCTTGTGGATAGTCATAAAGCCTTTAATCTGTGCCAACATTCTGTTGTTTTATTGCACTTCTGTCATCTTTAGCTAGCTCAAGCCTCTCTGTGTATGTTTACGGGCCACTTGTGTTCCTTTTTCTCTGAACTCCCTGTTTATACTGTTGCTGGTTTTTCAACCGGCGTGTTTGAAGCAGATCTTTTTTAATGACATGATTAAACATTAATTGGAGCATCTCCTTGGATGGCGTGAGCTTCAGGGACCATCCAATCCTGTTCCCACCTCAGACCCCACTCAGATCAGCCTCAGTGGTCTGTCTCCTCGTGTTCCACGTGGCTTCACGGCTCCTTCTACTCAGTCTGGACCCACCATCGTCCCCGTTGGTGGAAACTCATTCCCAGCACGCTTCATTCTGCTGCCTGCCCTCCTGATGTTTCATTCATCCGTCCATTCATTCATTCAGTCTATAGTATTGAACACCTACCGTTGTTTCAAGCACTATCTTTCCTTAGCCCAACCTCGAATGAACCTAACCTTTCTCCTTGCCTAATGCTACACCTATATAGAGGATATTGCTGAAAAAACTTCAGAGTTTTACATATGGGTACCACCAACCTAAATAGGTGGATCCTCAAAACGAAAGCAATGCTTTCATCTGTTCCTGCTGAGCTCCCTTTTATACACCCCAGGGAAGGAGCTCTCGATTTTTATCACAGTGTTACATTCCTGACCCAAATGGGATCTCACTCATTCTCAGCCCATTCTTCTGTTACTATTGTAGAAAAAGGCAAAATGGTGTAATGGTCACGAGTGCTGGAGTTGTGTCTTCTGGGCCAGAGCAAATGTGAAAACTGGTTCTCACCTTTGAACCTTTTTTTTTTTTAAGATTTTATTTATTGGGGTGCCTGGGTGGCTCAGTTAGTTAAGTGGCTGCTTTCAGCTCAGGTCATGATCCCGGGGTCCTGGAATAGAGCCCTGCATCGGGTCCCTGCTCAGCGGGAAGTCGGCTTCTCCCTCTCCTACTCCCCCTGCTTGTGTTCCCTCTCTAGCTCTCTCTCTCTCTGTCAAATAAATAAAATCTTACATCTAAAACTAATAATGTAATGTATGGGGATTAACATAACAATAAAAAATAAATAAAATCTTTTAAAAAAGAAGATTTTATTTATTTATTTGACAGAGAGAGAGAATGAGAGAGAGAGAGCATGAGAGGGGGGAGGGTCCGAGGGAGAAGCAGGCTCCCTGCTGAGCCTGATGCGGGACTTGATCCTGGGACTCCAGGATCATGACCTGAGCCGAAAGCAGTTGCTTAACCAACTGAACCACCCAGGCACCCACCTTTGAACATTCTTGAGTAACCCTGGAGCAGATGTGCTCAAGCTCACAAAATCCTAGATACCTAGATCCATCGATCCTATGAACTTCCTTGTACCATTCCATGTTTGAGGAGATTCTGGAAGAGTGCCAGGACCAGACAGACTTCCTTCTGGGCTGTCACTTGCTTGGAGGGACTGAGCAAGGAATCAGTCACATGGCATCATACAGCTGGTGAGTTCTTGAGGAATCATACACCCAACTGTCTAAACCTGCGATGGAGAACTACAGTGTCCTAGGATTATCTTGTTAGCCTACTGCTGGGCATGAACAAAGTGAGCTCCAGTGTTAGTTATAAGGCTGTCCTGACCTATTTCTCGAATTTGAACACTGCCTTTGAGCCATCCAAACAGGCAGCTGAAAGTCAGCAGCCACAGCATCCATACAGGACGACCTTGAACCACCACCAAGCTCAGGACAGCCCCCAGCACTTCCAAGTTCAAAGCCCAGTTCATCACTTCCTGTTTCTGTGATCTTTAGCACATTTCTTCAACTGGGGCTCAATATCCCTCTTTGTAAAATGGAAACAGTAGTTAATATGAATTTTAAATAAAGTAATGCATGCAAAACACTCAGACAGTGACTGATACATAAATAAAAACTATTGACTTTTATTTCACAGGACAAAAATAGAGAAAAGAGGAGTCTCTGTTCCCTAAAGAAAAAATTGTTCCCTGCCTCCTGTCTTGGTCCCCCTCCTCTATTTACCAACAAACTCAAGAGTGTCCTCCCCACTCAGTGTCTCATCTGTTCACCTCCTGATCCCTTGACTTTTGCCCCATCACTTTCTGAGTCTGTTTTCACCATCCTCAGTCAGCCTCTTAAGTGGGAAGCCAAAGGCCAATTTTCTTTCTCGTTCCCTGGCAGCATGTGGCCCTCCTCATGCCCCATTTATTAAAACTTGTTCTTTCTTGGTCTTTGGAGACACCACTCTCCCATCTCACTCTCCATTCCCCTGCTCTCTTCTCGCTGGCTTCTTCTTCTTTCTTCTCCTTCTCCTTCTCCTTCTCCTCTTCCTCCTCCTCCTCCCCCTTCTTCTTCTTTTCCATTCCCTAAATTGACATTTTGGGCTGGATCAGTCTTGGTTGTGAAGGGCTGTCATGTGCATTGTAGAAGGTTTAATAGCATC